ATGGAATTCAACTTTCATATATTATATAGATTATATAGATTATATTAATATATAATATTAAATTAGTAAAAAAATACATATTTTCTAGTCATGTTCATGTAAAATGTATAATATCAAAAAACTTATTCTGCAATATTTTTTGTTAATAAATTCAAGTTTATGAATTAAAATTCAAAAAAAATCGTAACACCACCAATTATGCAATTATAATAACGGAATATTTTAAATCGAATTTAACTAAATTCAAATTAAATTAATTATAAAATTAAATTAAAAAATAAATTTATTTAGGGTTTCCAAGAAAGTTGATATATTTAGAGCATTTTATAAATGGTAAGATATAAATATATTAATAAAATAATAAAATATATTTAATTACCTTTAATTTTGGAAAATGATGACATGTTTTTTGATGATTTATTTCCACCAATCAATTCGCCACATGGGATGAAATTGATGACATGTCATCAATTGAAATTGCCAAATGTCAATCAATTAGCTATGCAATTCAACTTTTATATATTATATAGATTATTATTATAACTTTTAAGAGTAAATTACAAAAACCTCCTCGAACTAAGGCTAAATTATGATAAAACACCCCTATCTATCCGTACTTACCAAAATCCCCCAACGTTTGTTTCCTTCTTACACCGACCCCCCACGGAATCCTTTTTAACTCACGGAACATTTCCCAAAAATGCCGACTCTACCGCCAAGAACAATATTTTAAATGCAGATGATCTTAGTATACCTTCACCAACAACTTCATTATCTGCACATTGCAATGTCGTTACACTTTAGCATGGCTATCTTCAATCTGTTCTACGTTTATAGGGGTAAAATCGGTATTTTGGAAATATTCTCTGTAATAAAAAAAAATTCCATGGAAAAGAGTGTCGGTTTAAAACGGAAACAAATGTTGGGGGAATTTTGATGATTACGGATAGGTGGGGTGTTTGTAATTTAGCCTAAATTTAGGGAGTTTTTGTGAAATACCCTAATTTTAAAGAATGATAATGGAAAGATGGCTACAAGAATTGAAGAATTTTTTTCATATTCCTCCTAAATAATAAGAATTAAGAAATAATAATGGCAGCATATTCTTTTATTTGCTTTGGGAGTAAAGAATTTTCACAGAGCTTCTCAAACGATTTTACTATCCATCATTAAATTGGAATAATCTGACAAAAATAAAAAATAAAAAATAATAATAACAGACAATTATTAGTAGAGTAATTAATCTGAATCATAGGGATCTGGAGGAATTATTCTTAGAAGAACAAGGAGTGTTTAAGGTAATACTAAATAAATTAATGAAGTGTAGATGAGATCTAATTTTATTTTATTAATTCTACTTAATTAAGTAGGGGAGTAAGTGAGGGTAGTGAAGTGCACATGATTAGTGAAGAATTAAGATAATTTAATCCCTTTTTAATTAATCTGCAAATCTGGTCACGCTGTCGGGCTGCCTTGCTGTTAGGGAATTAAATAAAGAATTATTAATTAATTAATTAATTGCATTAGTTAATACAAATAAATTAACTGGCCCAAGAAGAAAAAACAAAACCACTATCTATTTAATTAATCAAAGATAGATCGGGCCTCGTGCCAACCCAATTAGCATAAATTCATATCACGGGTTTTAATTTAATTTAATTTAATGCAAAACAAGACTTTTGTCATCGTGCAATGTTAACTTTATATCCTAAGTTTTATTTATATTTGATAAGATAAAGTATGATTAGTTAAATATTTGATAATTAATTTATTTATTTATTAGTTATTTTTAACGACGAACCCACAATTTATACACGAATGAGCTCATTTTCTGAGTTTGTTTTAAAATTAATTTTGCATCCTTATATTATACAATATTGTATCATTTACCCCGATGTATAGAAAATGATACGTTTGTGCAAAATAAATATTTATTTACCCTTTTCTCATTGCAATTGGACTTCTCATAGTCCAATTATTATAAGATTGTATAATCTTATTATGATTAATCAAATCTTAGCAATCAAATGAGATACTTAATTATGTATTTAATTATAATTCACATATATGTGGTAACGAGTTGGGCTACTTTTTTCAATATGTAATTTCATAAAATATGTTTATTTTAATTTCCTTTTATTTGTTAAATTATTACAAGGGAGGGAAAAAAAGAAAAGTGGGCCCCTAACACATGATTTCATTGAAGGACAAAAAGATGAAATATGTCCATCTTCTTCTTCTTCTCAATTTTTCACTTTTCAATACAAAACAACACAAACTTATGTACAATTTGGCCCCTTTTGTTGATGCTTACTTGACACTATATTCATATCCAACTTTTGCTATACACACTAAAAATCTAGATTCAAAAATAAAATAATTTTTTTTATTAATAATAATAGTAAAAAATAAAAGATTAGAAAGGGAAATATGCAAGAGCCTTACACCAGAAAAAATAAAAGGGACAACTACTACTTTAAAAGAAGAGACAAAGAAACCAGCTATATATTTATATATATGCACATAGACATTTATGTATATGTATATATCATATCATATATGATTAATTGAAAATGGTCCCTTATTCAGCTTAACTTTTTGCATTGTTTCCCATATTTTGCATGGAAAAAAAAATTGATATAACTTTATCTTATAACCCCCATATGCAGCTCCTGTGTAAAAGCTATATTTGCTACCGAAAAGAAAAATGCTACATTTGTTACATAGTGGTGGGAGCGTTCACTCGACCAGTAAACCGACCGAACCGAAAGTTCGATACTGCCCAAAACAAAAACCGAGCCTCAAAATTATCTCCTGATTAATTAATGAGTAATTATTGAGATCAATTACAACAAAAAGATATATCAAAATCAAGATTGATGATATCAGATCTCTCATCACATGAGTGAACATGCATGTTAAATTGGTAGCAATTTTTTTGCCACGTGACATGAGGACTCTCTCTCTCTCTCTCTCTCTCTCTCTCTCTCTCTCTCTCGCACACACACACACAAAAAAAAAAAATTATAATAATTTACAAGAATTAAATTACTGGGGTTTATATTTATTTAGCTCAACAATGGCAGATAGTGGGTTGTCTTAAAAGACGAAAAAAATGGAAGAGAAATAGTTTGTTAGAACGTGCCATGTTATGATTCTCCATTTTAAGCCATGAATTTTTAATGAAGAGATGCATATATGTCACATGAGAGGGCTGATGGATTTACTCTTTTATTTTATTATATTTTATTAATATTCTATAAAATAAAATAAATTAAAAAAGTTGATTGAATTATTGGGGGTGTGAGATGCAATGGGAAAACTTATTTTTAACAAAGATGAAAGCATCTTTTTCTTTGTCCGGAAACTGGAACACTATATTATTATTTATTAATGAAAAAAGAAACCTTTACATCTTCACATAGTGTGTGTGTGTGTGTGTGTGTGTGTGTGTGTGTGTGTGTGTGTTTCATGCATTTTCTCATGTCAAATTAAAATCCTCGTGTGATTATATTAGCTGATTCTTGATCATGGCCTACCACCAATTATTATTTATTTATTTATTTTATTTTATTTTTCTGACTTTATTTGGCACACAAGATGATTGCTTTAATTTCTTGGTACTTGAACTATTTTCTTCTTTCTAATACTTTCAATTAGTCAAAATTACTTAGGTAATAAGAAATAATATCCCTCCATCATTATTTAGTTCGACGAAGCTGCAATTTTCTCCATTAATATATACATGTACAGAAAGAAAGAAAAAAGTATTAACTATTATGTATACTTCAAAAATAAAGAGAGAAAAAAGGGACTGCTTGACTAAATTTATTTTAAAGAGCTGATAAGTTATTACATCTTATATTTAGAATTTATTTTTAAAGTGTTTGATGATAATCTTATAAACTATTTTCATTTATTATAAAATCTTAAATAAAAATGTAGGCTAGAGGTAATTTTTGAAAAAATCTTTATTTCCTCCATATATTACCAAACAACTTATAATTACCAAACACTTTGCAAAAGTTTATAAGCATTTTTTAACAATTTATAAGTTTAGCCAAACACCCTCCATATCACACATTGTGACCGACCAATTATCTAAATAAAATTGAATACTAATTTGGCTTTATCTACATGTTCGCATTAGTTGATCAATTCTTATATTATATATAGTGTTTGAATCTTAATCATTAATGATCCTTTTAATCTTCGGCTTATCTAATGATTTATGTAATAAGAACAAGGTTTAGTCCAAAGATTATAGGTCAAAATCACTGTCCCCCCTTGAGCATGGATGTCAACGTCTTTCCCTAATTTCAGGATTATGCATCACTAATCCCTCTTTTAGCCGATTAATTAAAGAGATCGTAGACTGTAAGTGGAGAATAATAATATACAATAAGATATTGTCATTCATGTCATTATATGAACTTGATCGAGTCAAATTTAGCTTGCTAATAATTATTTAATTTGTGTATTTATATTAATGACCAGCATACCTAAAAAAGTCTGAAAAGCGAAATTAAAATCAGTGTACAACACAAAATGCACAGGGTACTAGTCATATGGCCTGCTTCTAAAAGACCTCTTGTTGATCAAACTAGGATTTATTCTAAACTACACCTGCGTAAATCTTTACCGTTCATATACACACAAACACACACATCCACATTGGTGTGTAGATAATAGTAAAAAAATCACACATTGTAACCTTAACCTGGTGTAGCATAGAATTAACGTCAAAACGGGAGAATGAATTGGTCTGAGAACAAGTTTGAGTTAGGAGCATTGTCTAGTGTTTACTCCCCCATGTTGAATAAACCAAGTATTTTTCTAATTTATGTGACCCCCTATGTTTCCTTAGTGACCAAGACCAGACAACTTTTTATGTGCTATGTAATAAAAAAAATTTAAATGCGTTCGAACGACTGCATATTGTATAAACTTTAAACCCACCACAGTTATTCAAGAATTAATCGAAAGCTAAAAGTTTGATATTCATAGTAAAATGAATTCATTTAAAGGCGTTCACAGAAAATAAAATCGTAAATCCAAGTCATGATGTTTGATACAGTTCCTATGGGAAGTGATCAACATCTGTAATCACAGTCCATTTTTAATTTGACAAAACTTACTGCTTATGATTTTCTCTAATAAAGAATATATTAGGGAAACAAATCACATCCCTAATTCAAATGATATGCAAGGTGAAATCATGGTTAAGGACTCGAATATAATGTCACTAAATCACTATGGGGAAAATTTCTGAGCATAATGGAAGCTATTGAAATATAAAATACCACCATATGGCTTTAACAAGTATATTCTTCCGTTCAAAAAAACAAAGAACTACAAATGTATTCCTTACCGTGTCACCTGCCAAAGCACTTCAAAACGGAAGATGTCAACGATGACGAAATGAACTTCAGCCCAGCTGATCCACCCGGAAAGTAAGAGATTGCATAGTATGCTAGAGCCATAACCTATACATGAATAAAATATAATTAGTGTATGGAATCTAATTGCCAGCTCAGAAATTGCTTAATCAAAGTTTTAATACCTGAAGCACAGAAAAGAGCACAGATAAAACATAGCTATGAAGGACCATAGAGACATAAATGGTGCCAATCATGCTGCCAAGGAACCCTAATGTAAACGGGAGCCTCTGTAGAAAAAAACGTAAGAATATGTATTAGAGAAGATGCAGCGAAAGAGAGTAGATTTTATTTTATTTTATTAGAAGTAATTTGGTACCTCCTTTGATGACATGTGGGTAAACTGATTCTTTGGACCTTTAAGGGCAAAAAACGAACCGATGATGAAGGCACACCCGGCAGTAAAGCAGAGGGCAAATTTCTGAGGCACCAACACGATCACCGGAAGGAATAGAGTGAATGCTATAAATATAAAGAAAACTCCACTTGCTAATAGCAAGCCAAAATACATGAGTGCTTTTCCAGAAGGGATGCTACTCGTGGCAGACTGAAAGTTTCCGGGTATATCTCTCACTCCTTTCGAAACCCTGGACCAAGAAATTGCACGTTTGAGAAAATTTTGAAAATAATGTAGAGGATATGAAAGTAGAATCGGAATAATCTTTTAATGTATGTTTTCTGTAAGAAAGAGAAATTTAAAATCATCAGTGGCAGGGATAAGCTTTTAACTCACTTGCAGTGATTGTATCACTAGAATTTCAGTCTTTAAAATCCTAGAATAATATGCTATCCTGGATGAATTTTTCTAAGGCACAAAGATATCCTTCGAAGTCCCGTCGTCTAACTAGAACAGAACTATAATTACATACCACGTGTTCATACATATCATCTGGAGTTCTTGCATGCATGTTTTCCAATCATATAATTAGTATGCAACTTAGAGATTAATACCGAATCCCCGTTTCTTCATTATCTACCAGATTTTCATTAGTCAATTAAACATTAGAAACAATTTCAGTAACTATTTCAGTAACTGCATTCCACAAATTTTGATTAGGACAAAGAATATCGACCTGCCAATAGTGTTAACACTACATCTGATATAGTTAGTTCTGAATTCTGTAACAAAATGTTGAAATTTCTACAGGAAGCTTTAAACTATAACAACACTTGAAACAACAATTTCTCAAGCTGGAGGGCTGATTGGAATGTTGAATCTTATTGATAATGTATCATGAAACTGACAGCAAAGGTACCTAGGGTTTAATCTCTCGTGTTTCAACATGAAACTCAAAACTTTCTCCATCCAGTATTCATCAAGGTAATTTACACAAAAAACAATCGACTAATCATCAAAATGATTCATATGTTTCGGAGAAATAATTCAGATTGCGAGCAATAAATGATGAGAGAGAGAGAGAGAGAGAGAGAGAGAGAGAGAGAGAGAGAGAGCACGCTAAGGAAGGATCTAGATCTTACACATTGAAGGTGCCGGAAACGGTGTCGTTGGCGGACCTGACAGCGGATTCGATATCAAAAACACCGACGAGGGAGCCGCTGCTACTCTCTTCGGAAGATCTAGCGGCGGCGTATGAATTCCAATCTGCAAGCAGAGAAGAGGACGAAGACAACTTGGGCTGCTGGGGAGAAGTTTCATCACTACCAACGCCCCCTGAAAACCAATTCTGCATTTTTCGAGGAATCGATTTTGGTATTTGTTTGCTATGGAGGATTGATTGAAAGCTTGCTTGTTAATGGAGGAACCCCTTCACCAAATCAAAACCACTGGCAATTCGTACTTGTTAAGAAACGGTAATTGCGTATTTTGCTTGCCCCACTATTCAAGTCTTGCTTATTGGAATTAACACGTTTTGAATTTATTTCAATTCAAAATTAATTCCAATTCAATTTTTTTAAACGAATAATTTAGAAATTGGAAATTGGGATTAAATATTTTTTTTTCCAATTTCGGAAAGTTTTGAATCAAATTGGGTGTGGAATTTGGAAATTTTCAGTTTTTCAGTGATCTATAAATTTTCGAAAATTAAAATTGGATCAAAAATTAGAATCTACATTAAACATTTTAAACCCCTTTCTAGATACTTAATGAAATAATTTGAACTATTACAAATTGAGAAGATAATATCATTAAAACAAGATCAAATTACGTAAAAATCCCTCATATTAGGTAATTACCACCACTCATTAACATGTATTGTCTTACATGTCCACCCTTACGATTTCAAATTTACCTATTTAAATAGAGGTTTTTTCGTAAATAATACATAGTTGGGAAGGTGGTTGTAATTTGACCTTACCTCAGAGGATGGCCGTAATTTGCCCTAAAAACAAAGATGATAATCAAAGCAATAAATATAAGCAACTATTGTAGTTAACCAGAGAACATATGATCCACCAATTTCAATTTACATGACAGGTTTTCAAAACCTAAAAGAGATTGATTACTCCTCATACAACTTTCAGGAGCTGGACTTCAAACACTAAAGGCTCCTTCGAATGAGACAAAAGGCTACGCCGAGGACCAAACTGCACCAAAATCATCGTCACCGTTAGAAAGGAAACATAATATTAAAAATTTGTACAACCGAAAGAAGAAAAAAAGAATCGACCTCTTCAGGAATTGGTTGTAGGGTTTCAGTAACGTATCCTACAGAAGGAGGTATTAAAGCTCTTCGCTTTCCTAAAGTACGTCAACGCGATAGTCAGTATATATTCTTCGTTACAAGAAATCCAAATTTAGTACATATTGAATTTGAACCAACCTCCACTCTTCATGCCAATCAAAACCTCCTTTAGGCCTCTTATTATCTGTCGTATCCAAATATTGAAACTCAGATTTAAACAAATCGACAATAACTCAATATGGTACGGTTTATAGTATTTTTGCATTAGTACTCGTATAGCCAGATCATATGCTAACCTGCTCGTCATCCAGACGAAGTATAACCGGGCTACTCTCTCCACTGAACTGATCGACAGTGCTACAGGGAAAACAAATTTCATCAGAGTTCAAAAATCATTCATTACAGAACAAGAAAATTAAAATAACACGTAACAAGTTTTAGAAATAAATGAAGAATATACAGCCTAGTTCACATATAATCACTCCCAACATGTAATTATACCTGTGAACAAAATACCCATTCGACCTCCGGCATACGTAATTAAATTCTACAGTGTCCCCTTCACGAGCTTCCGTGCCTTGTCCTTCAACAATGTCTTAAGACAGATATCCATAAACTAGTTAAACATCATAGAATTAATTAAGCTAAAACACGTATCTGAATTATATTGCTCGGTAATTGTGTTTGACCAACATGGTGATCTTGTTAACAAAAGATAAATAATTTGCATAACTGGAATTTCAAAATTCATTTGACGCAGAGATGCAAAGATAACTCGAATCTTACGAAATGTTTTCGTAAGATCCACAATCACATTTTATGTCTTGCTACGGAAGCACAGTGATATATACAGGCTTTATAAATTAAAAAAAAAAAAAACGGGGAATAATTTACCTTGTATTCTAACTCCACTAGCAAGCTTCAGTGTCCTAAATGCTTCAAAACCAGAGCAGCCATCATGCATAAGAACATACTCTATTACAGAAATAAAAAAACAAAAAACAAATCGAAACAGAATTTACCTGAGGACATCTGGTTCTTTCATCTCCTGCAGAGGTGCAGCAAGTACAGCACAAGCATTTCCAAAAATTACATTAAATCCCACAAGCTGCAAAATCACTCTTCTTAATACCTTATCTGCTGCAATCGATGAATATCCATTCTCCGAGTTTCTTTGTGCAGAAACCTTGATGAGTTTATTAGTTTTCCTACTCGAAATATCACTGAGATTCAGCAATTTATACTCGGTGTGCACATAACAATTTTTTTTTATCGAGTATTTAAATGTTTAGCAATAGCATAAGATGCTAAGAACTAAAATTTTTGCATCCAAAGCTTCGATAGAGACGCTCAACAGTTATCCTAGTTATCGAATGCTATAACTCTTGATCATGAAATTTTAAACAATTTGCCACAAAGTTTACTGACTGGCTGTGTTTCGGATTTCCCCAGAACATACATATCATCAATTTCACATGACTGTCACGATCACGAACACCCAACATTGGAATCTTATTTTCGATTGTAAAAACACCTAAATATTGCTCACAGATTCAACACAACAGCAAAAATTAACAAACTAAAATTCATCTCTGAGAATTACATAAATCAATATCAAAACGAACAAGGATTACCCAGTATATGTACAGTCAAACATACGCAATCGGCGAATCTGCTACAAACAACATATTCACATTACAAATTCGAAGGAAAAAAACGAGAATTCTGGAAGAAATGAAAAAAACAAAGTATGAGCAAAAAGCAGTAGTTCATCACCTCGTAGAAGCGGAGAGGAGTGGGAAGTGGGGACGGATTTGAAATGCACAAGTTTCCATAGCTTCAGATTAGCTCAAGCTCAACTGATAAAAATGAAAATAAATTGGGAATTGTCGAGTGTCAACCGAGTAACAGATCCAATACCGTAAACAGTCGGGTCGAATTTATATCCGGGTGCAAAATGTGGTTCCGGATTTTTGGTGACTGAAAAATGGATACGAAATTTTAAAAAATAAATAAATAAATAAAATAATACAATTACCTTGTTATATTTGTGTTACCGGAAAAAATAGAAAAATATTTATATACATGTAACATGTCAAACAAACTAGGGGTTGAAAGTCCGACGGAACGGATCGGAATAGATTTTTCGAAAAAAAAAAAATTAACTTTTTCGAAAGTAGAAAAATCTAATTCCAGAAGTTTCGGAATTTCGAAATTCATTTCAATTGTGGTGGATTTGTTTATTTTGTAGTTTATTAATAACAACTCCATTTATTTATTTTTATTTAGTTTATTTTTTTAATTAATTATTTAGTTTATTGCTCCTACCTTCAAGGAGAAAATTTAGTAAAAAGGAATTTTCAATCCACAAAAAAATAAAAAATAAAATAAAATAATAATTATCGACCTTTATAAAGTGTGATCAAACCAAACAAAGAAATCTTGATGCTGAGAAGAGTATTCCGACGGGTTAGATATACGAGTTTGGTTGTCTCCAAACAACAGAAACAAAAAAAAGTGAAAGGGGAATCAACCCGAGCAAATCTAACCCGTAAATACTCACTTTTTTTGTTCAGAGAAATTGTGCCCTAATTTGCCATGAAATAATTTGTTCACATGATCCGCGTGAATTCAAATGCCAATCTTCGGCCTTGATCCTGAATTTATGAGTTTTGTTAACCTAGAAAAGGAAATAAAATAAGAATTAAACCCTGCTACGCAATCATCAATGTGAAAGAGAAGACGACGAAGAAGAAGAAGAAGAAGAATCGGAATCGGTAAACGCGCGATCGTGATGGTTGATTTCGAGGTGGAGAATTCGAGGTGGACGTGGGAAGAAGACAAGCAATTCGAGAACAGTTTGGTGGAATTCCCCGAAAATTTCCCCAATCGGTGGGCGAAAATCGCGGCCAGGCTTGGGACCAAGTCTGCGGCGGAAGTCGAGCGACACTACGCCGTTTTGCTGGACGACGTGACGGCGATCGAGGCAGGGCTGATTCCGTCGCCGGAATATGCTGATACGAGTTTATCCCGATCGACGGAACCCCAAAAATGCCCTAAACCGGAGAAGAAGCAAATCGGCCCACAGAGAAAAGCCGGCAGACCGTGGACCGAAGAGGAACATAGGTAAACCGTAAACTTATTGAAGTGCATAATCATTATTTTCCGTTTTTTTTTTTTCTTCTTTTTTTTTTTTTGATTTTTCTAATCATCCATTGTTACAAAGTAAGGATTTTTACAGGGAGCTTTTTGTGTAAAATCATTGAGAATGACATATTTGTATTTTCCTATGTGTGTATTTTACAGGTTGTTTCTTCTTGGTTTGGAGAAGTATGGGAAAGGAGATTGGAAAAGCATCTCAAGATACGTTGTGCTAACAAGAAACGCGACGCAAGTTGCGAGTCATGCCCAAAAGCACTACGAGCGTCAAGAGAAGGAAGAGCAGAATAAGAAACGACGAAGCATTTTTGATACGTCGAATGTTTCTGCTGTCTGATTCTTCTGCAAACAATTCGACACGAACTTTAGGACTAGGAAAGTAAATGTCTTTTTCCCCCCCTCTCTCTCTCTCTTGCTCTCGTATCTGGTATTTGATGCTAATTATTTTGGACTAGTTTTAATGAAGTTAACTTAAGCTCTAGCAATGGGATTTCAGTAGTTGTTGAAGCTCTGTTGTTTTTTCACCAACACTAACTGCAATCTCTGCACTAAACCAGATTTTCGAGCTACTATTGTTTCTTGACTCAACTAATCCAACTGACATAAAAGAATTGCCTTTAAACTTATAAATGTTACATTTTTATCGACACCCAGAGTTAAAAAAGAAAGTAAGAATGCAGAGAAACGGTGAGGCGCTATCATCAGCGCAAAAGCTCTTAACAGGTAGTACATCCTCTAATTGAACTGCGGATTGAGGGATTCTTCGTTAATGCGCTGCTCAAGGAGGTCATTTTCTTTTCTAATGGCTTCAAGATCTGCTTGCAGCTTGCTCATGTTCAAGCTTCTAGCACTAACATTTGAGAGCCTGGTTTCATAATCAGCTGCATCTCTTCGACTTCTGTCAGAGGCGAGAATTGTTTCCGCAATCTGTTCAAAGCTCTCATGGATGTCTTTTAGAAGCCTGTAAGCTTGTCGAGCAACAGGATCTTTCTTGGCTTCCCTGCAAGTGTTCTTTAGTGTGAATACGACAATTAAGAAAGGACTTCTCCGAATAATCCCGTATATATGTGGGGCCACGGGAGAGTTGCAAAAAGAAGATTTATTACCTGAAAATTGTCTCATCGACTATTGCATAAGTTCGATTAAGGCGTTCTCGGATGGTATTGCTCTCCAACTGGAGCTCCCTTATATCTTTCAGGATCCCCTGTATGTCATTATCCTGTTTCCTGCTATTTTTCGTGATTTCATTGATCCGCTCAATGTAGGATTTTCTCGGTGCCACCTTGAGCTGTTTCTCGAGATCTGATGAGAGCTTAGTGTGTTCCTCCTCCCTGTATGGGATACAAGATAGACATGCTACTTTGAGGAATTCTAAGAAAAACATATGTCCCACAAAAAAACACCCAACATCTCTGAGATAAAGGCTGAATTATGGTTGCTCAAAGAGACAAAAAACGAACGAAATAGAAGAGGAATGATCATAAGCAGAGATTTTAAAATACTGTTAGCACAGAATATTCAAATTATTTTAATGATATGCCTAAGCTAGCAAGTAGGTTCTCCAAAGTGAGCACAAACAGTAAGATTCCGTAATTGTATTCTGATGGTGTTCTCTAATCATACGTAGACCGAAGTCAATGAACAAAGTATAGTGTATCCGGAACAGAGTTGTTAAAAATAATGGCTGTATGTTGTGAATGATGAATTATACGACATAGGTATCTTTTACTACTTTATAAAGTGGTACCATTGGAGCGTAGCACAGAAAACATAAACGCATAAGGTCATCAACTACACTAGTTTGAGCAGCTTATAAATATCCAATTTCTCCTTGGTAAACTGTAAGAGTCAAAGGAAATCTAAAATGTAGAATAGGATATTTGTTTAATTATTCAAGCTAGTTATTTCTTGTATAGTTGCAGAAGAAATGCATAACTAACAATCGAATTACCTTCTTTTGATCTCAGCTAGAATAGATTCTACTTCCGACTCAATTTCTTTAGTTCCAGTAAGCTTCCCACTAGCCTCAGGATAGAGTGCAGAGAGAGTTTGCTCAAGATTTATTTTCTTCTCTTGCAGAGGTTTTTCGATCACATCCCTGCATTAGATGTTCAAGGTCACGCTCTTTCCGGAAAATATTTACGATGCTGCTTCGATTAGACTTGTACTACTCAAAGATCAATTGACAACAATGATAAAAGGTTAACGTAGGAAGAAATGATGGAAAATCCTTCACCGAGTCTATTGGTTTATGTGGAAGCATAACCAAAATCCTTACCATTCAGACTCCAGTTCCTTCAGCTTATGTCTTTTGGCCTCCACTTGATCATTGAGTTGTTCAATGTAAAACTCAACAGGACGTTGGCCATCAGATACCATTTCAACAGCTGCTTTTAACAATCCCAGTTCCTCATCAAGATGCTGCAATTTAGAATATTTTGTCGTCATAAACATCATATGCGCTCTTTACAAGAACGACTCACTCAGTTATTTCTTAACTAAAATGTCAATAAAAGTTCAAAAAGTTGCTGATTTATCGTACTTTGTGATTTTTTTTTCAGCATTGGCTTCAATGTCAACACACATTTGGGTGAAAAAGAACCACATAACTGAAAACTACTATTTCCAGGAGAAAACTGTATCGAGTCTTTGACTTAATCATGAAAAAGAACCACATAGCTCCAACTACTGAATCTAGCAGAAATTTACCTGAGAATTGTCTTGATCTCTGAAAGCCTTATTTCTTGAGCTTTCAATCCTTCCTAATGAATATGAACTTTGAGCCCCCTCACTACTTTCAGTCCTGATCTCAACATTGTCTAAAACTGAACCAAGTTCATCGGCCTTTTGAGCTAAATCATCTCGAGACTTCATATGAATTGATTCAAGTGCCCGATTCTTCAATTCCAGATCATTTAATTCATTCAAAATCTCTTCATTCTGTACAATTTCTCCCACATCACAGGGCTTCTCCTTGGCAGTGCATCTTATGTTACCGCCATCTCTTAAAGCAACTGCCGTAGCTCCGGAAGATTCAGGTAGCTTTCCGACCAAAAACCTCACCAGATTATACAAGTCCTCACTGGATGGATAGAGAAACTAACTAACCAACATAAATCACTTCATCAGAGAGAATTCCATGTAAGTCGAGAAACAGTAAAAGAAATAGTATAAATGCCTAAATTACAATGTTTTCTAATCAGTAATCAACGTGAAATTTTTGAACTGTATAGGAAAAGAGAAAGGCATGGAATTAGCGGAACCTTATGAAAGCTGAGTTCCGGATCGAACCCTAGGTTATTGAAGGCGTTGGCGAGGTCCGTACAGATTTTGACTCGGTCAGGCATGGAATCCTCCGGTAAGGATGCCGGAAACGACGACGCATTGTGGGGACCGTCGATCAAGCGGAGCGCGTGGGCGCAGACGGAGAAGAGAGTTTCCGGAGTGAATTTACCGATGGAAGTGAATCCGGCCGGAATCGGGACTCCCGAGTTCGTCAGCGAGTCCAGCAGGATCTCCTCTGAAGCTTCCATGGCTTCAAGTGCTCTCTCAGGTTTGGGTTTCTGTGCTTTTTACCTTTTGGACGACGTCGTATTGCGATTGACCTGTTTAATTTTATATCAAATCACAGCGCTTTTATAATGTAAGCACGTTTTTTAATTTCTTGAAGGCTCCCTTTTGAGGCTACAAATACATACACATACGCTAGTTAGTAAAAAATAAGTACTTCATTGTAAAAAAATAAAAACATGGTAATGAATAAAAAATTTATCAGTACCATGTTTTTTTTAACTATTTATAAACAATTTAAAATAAAAATGTATAAAAAGCTCGGTTGAACCGGCCCAATCGTGACCCGGTCGGTTGTCCGGTTCAATGTCCGATCCGGTTCTGAAAACATTGGATAAAAGTATAAAACACAAATATCTGTTTTTTCCTAATTCAATTTCATTAAAACTACAGTTATTATGTGTAAACAAAACATATAATCATAGGCTCCAAATAAAGAAAGGACTTGTTCTTTTCTGATTAATTTCCTTTGAATGTCAATAACCACTCTTGCAAATTGCATTTAATCTTCATTATTTTTTATTTTTTTATTTTATAAATGTATCTTTTTCTTTTCCTCCTAATAATTACTAGAAGAAAACAATAATTAATTAAAAAAATGTGCATACAAAAAGAAAATAAAGGGAATGAATGCAAGTCAAAATGCATTGCCAAAGGTGTGTGGCAACTAAAAAGCAAGTCATCTAAACTCTCTTCTTGTGCATATAAAGCTTGCTGCCTAACAATAACCAAATAAAAATTAAATAAATAAATAAATATAATATATATATATATATATATATATACACATACATGCCTATACACACACTATATATAACATACATGCACATACCTTAACATGCTTATATCGAAGATTCCAAGTAAAAATAAAATAAAAATGGAATGCGTAAGACAAAACGAAATCGAAGATTCATCTCTATCGACTCCATCCATGCAGATCACAGCTAGCAATGGCTTCGGACACAACATCGAGTTCGTGTCGCAGCCCTATCTCCGAAACACCTGTTCCGAAATCGACATCGAGGAAGATATTCCCTCCAATAGACAAGATCGCCCTCTCCCGATTTTTCTCAAGGCCAGTCCTAATATATTCACACTGCTGATCTTAATTACTTTTTACTTCTTTTTTTTTTTCTAATTAAAGATTAATGTTTGTGTGTTTAATTAGTGCAGTTTGCTGATGTGGAGTTTAAGGTAAAAGTAGGAAACGGTTCGTCTGCCAACCCTGTTAAAGCTGTTGTGTCGAAAGTAGCCTCGCAGTTGAACATCGAACAAGATAACTACAAGCAGATACTCAAGGGTATAACCGGAAGTATTGGCCCCGGTGAAATTCTTGCACTTATGGGTCCATCTGGCAGTGGGAAAACTACCCTGTTGAAGATTATAGGCGGCCGGTTGAACGAAAACGTTAAAGGGTCCGTTACTTATAACGATATTTCGTACAGTCCGGTTCTCAAACGAAGGTAATTTTATAATTTATAAAACATCAATGCATGCACACTAATCAAGATCTATATATTAAGCATTTATTTAATTATTTTATAATTTTACGTATTACAGGATCGGTTTTGTTACGCAAGACGATGTGCTTTTCCCACAGCTGACGGTGGAAGAAACCCTCGTATTCGCTGCTTCTTTGAGACTTCCTAGCAGAATGAGCGTACGGCAAAAGTACGAGCGAGTGGAGATGATTGTTAAGGAGTTAGGCCTTGAGAGGTTCGATTTCGAATTATATATAACACGAGAAATTAATTAAATTAAATAAGAGTATTAGTGTGTTTTTTTTCCGATGGTCTCTGTTAGATGTCGCCATACGAGAATCGGGGGCGGGTTCATCAAAGGTATATCTGGTGGAGAAAGGAAAAGAACAAGTATAGGCCATGAAATTCTGGTTGATCCTTCTTTGCTTTTGCTCGACGAACCAACTTCAGGCCTCGATTCCACTTCGGCGAATAGATTGCTACAAATACTTCAAGATCTTGGCAAGGTACACACACACACACACACACACACACACACACACACACACACACACACACACACATACTATATATATGGCCTCGTTTGAATTTTTTATTTTTTTGTTTTTGTAGGCAGGAAGGACAATTATTACAACAATCCATCAACCTTCGAGCAGAATGTTTCACAAATTCGACAGAGTTCTGTTAATAGCAGAGGGCTATCCGGTTTACTATGGAAAAGCCCGAGATTCGATGGAATATTTTTCGTGTTTAAGGTTCATTCCGCAGATACCTATGAACCCTGCTGAATTCTTGCTCGATTTAGCAACCGGACAAGTGAATGACATCAGCGTACCTGATGAACTCTTTGCTTCTCAAGAAAGCACCGCCGAACTCGAAAAAAATGTTATAAGAGTGAGCATTAATTATTACAACAATCTTGAATTTTCTCTAATTATTACTACATACGATGATTCTGTGTGTAAATCAATATATATAACAGTATCTGCAACATAAGTACAAAGTGGAACTCGAGCCGAAAGAGAAGGAAGAGAATCACCAGGCGCGGAAGGTTCCGGAAAGGCTCCAGCTAGACATCCAAGCCAAGTTAGATTGGACGCTCACTTGGTTCGAACAGTTCAGAATATTGTTCAAACGAACGTTTAAAGAACGATGGAGAGACTACTTCGATCAGCTTCGATTAATCCAGTCGTTCGGTGTGGCCATTCTGTTAGGCCTTCTCTGGTGGAAATCAAGCACCGCAACCGAAGCCCAGCTCCGAGATCAGGTCCAAAAAATTAAATTAATTAAAATTAAATCAAAAAAGCATCTTTATAATTTAATTTATTGCATGCATGCATGCAGATTGGGCTGTTGTTCTACATATGTATATTCTGGACATCTTCGTCGATATTCGGAGCGGTTTACGTGTTTCCGTTCGAGAAGATGTATTTGGTGAAGGAACGAAAGGCGGATATGTATAGGCTGAGTGTATACTATGTGTGCAGCACGTTGAGTGACATGGTGGCGCATTTGCTTTACCCCACGTGCTTCATGTGCATATTGTATTTCATGGCCGGTTTCAAGCGAACTGTCGAGTGCTTCTTCTTGACTTTATCCACGATACTCCTCATCGCTGTCACCAGCCAAGTATATATATATATATATATATACAAATATATTTATATGTATAATATATATCCACATACTTTGTAATCTTTAAATTTTTAAAATGTTTGTGATTAGGGAGCAGGGGAATTGTTTGGGGCAGCTGTGATGAGTATCAGAAGGGCGGGAATGATTGCTTCGTTGATATTAATGTTGTTTCTTCTGACAGGTGGATATTATGTTCAGGTATTTTTTTTTTAATGTTTGTCTGAATTCTTGAAAATATATATGAAGGAAATAAATTAATTACTGAATTTTTTTTATTTGTTTTTGGGGGTACAGCATATTCCGAAATTTATGCAGTGGCTAAAGTACGTGTCGTTTATGTACTACGGGTTTAGATTGCTGGTGAAGGTGCAGTATTCCGGCGACCAGATGTACGAGTGTGAGAGCAAGGGTGGCTGCCGGAGTTTGCAGAGCTCGCCGTCGTTCGACACTGTGAACTTGAACGGAGGGATGAAGGAGGTTTGGATCTTGTTGGCTATGGCACTGGCTTATCGTATCGCTGCGTATATTTGTCTACGCAGGAAGATTAATGTCTACCATCTTTGAAGTTTTTCTGTTTTCTTTTTGGGCATTTTATGTAATTTGTAAGAGATCTAGAAACGGAAGAATGTGTTTATTAGAATCAAAACTATCGAACTAACTCCATGATTTTATTGCTTTTGCAAATTCAAATTAAAATGAAAAATATTATTTCAAAATCGAAAATTCTGAAGAAAACCCTCAAAAGTATCATAGGCTCTAAACATATTTTAATGTGAGTTTCATTTAATTTAAAAATACCATAGCTACCGAAGAACTAATGAATCGGGATATGTAGCTCCACATTTTTATGATGCTACAGTAGCAAGAAGCGTATTCAGATTCTCTGGTTTTGATTGCAATGACAAAGAGCTGATGATTCTGGTGGGGGCAACATCCTACCACTTCAACGCACAGTTGTTGACTATATTACCTGATACGTCAATTTCTCCAGACAAAGAGCTAAACTGGTAGTAATGTAGACAGACAAAACTACGGTGATATGGGGGCAGAAAGCTAACACTGGCACGAGAAGAGCGCAGAGGTTGAACATGACATTTTTTTTTTTTGTCATACGCATGTGTTTGTTGAACATACAAAATTAATTATTGAAGGACATTTTAGACATTTAGAATGTATATAGAGCTAATTGTAAGCGAAACTAAAAAACGAACGAGTAGACTTTATAGAATGTGCTAAATAATTTCCACATGGCCCTAATGTGTGCCGACAAGTTGTATTACTAAGTGGTGGGGCCCACGTTACATCATTGACTGAAGGGGCAATCTGGTCATTCTGACAACTCCAAATAACCAATCATTGCCCCCAGTTTTTATGCAGATAGAGAGAGAGAGAGAGAGAGTCAATAATATATATATATATATAAATATTAAAAAAAAAGAAAAAAAACACATCATCATCATCTGACACAGAAGCAGAATAAAACCACAACCCTCATTCGTTCACAACCAACCAACCATCCGATCTTTCTTTCCTTTATGGATCCTATCTGTACATTTAACCACTTCAATTTTCTCTAAATTCTGAAACCCTCTGTCACCCCTCTCTCTCTCACACAGTCACACCCTCACAAAGAGAGAGAGAGAGAGAGAGTTGAAAAAAATGGAGATGGTGCCGTACGATTCCGACCCCAAATCAGAAGCAAACAGCTTCTATCATCCGTGGCCAGACATGTTCCTATCCGGCTCCGTCAGAAAACCCGAGACCAACACCGCCCCCGCTCCCGCGACTGAGCCCCACGCGCCGCCGCCGCCGCCTCCGATCGCCGCCAGCAAGGATTCCCTCTCGAACGATCCTCAGGTGCGCCTCGCCCTCTACATAGCGATGGCCCACGCGGGCCTCGCCTTCACAATCGTCGTCCTCTACGGAGTCTACAGGCTTCTAGAAGATTTCCTCCGCCCCATTTTGTGGGCAGTCATCTGTTCAATCCCTCTTAGAGGGATTCAACAGACCCTCGTCGGATTCTGGTCGGAGCCCCTGAAATTAGGCCTCACGGAGACCACTCTCGCGATCCCCGTCGCCATTTTCCGAGTCTTCGTCGGAACCCTCGTCGAGATCAAAGATTTAGTTCTCAGAATCGCCCTCAAGAGGGAAAAAACCGCACCTTTAAGAAGGAAAAAGAGTGGTTTCTACAAGTTGTTGAAATGGCTCGTGTCGTTCTGGCTGTTCGTCATGGCTTACGAGCAAATCGGCGCCATGGGGTCCGCCTCGATTCTCGCGTTGGGGTTTATGTTCACCTCTAGTGGAGTCGAATCCACTATGAGCAGAGTCAGTACATTCAGAAGCAACAGCTTTCGTCGCCTCCCGATGAGTTCTTTTTTTACTAGAGGGATTTTGAACAGATTGAAAACTTTCGTCGCCGTCGGTTTGATTGTTGCGATGATTGTGGGGTCGTTGTCCGGCTTGATTTTCTTCTCGTATAAAATCGGAGTCGAAGGAAAAGACGCGGTCTTTGCACTCAAATCCCACGTCGAAAAGAGTAATTACGCCGAGAAAATCGGTGTCAAGCAATGGATGGACGAAAATGACGTACCTGGAATGGTGGACACCTACTCCACAAAGCTGTACGAAACTGTTTCCGACCAAATCGACAGCCTGGCAATGCAGTACAACATGTCCGAATTCGTAAATGGAATCAAGCATTTCGTGATAGTCCCGTCAGACAATAACTCCTCTTCGAAATCAACGGCTCTGATGAGCCCTTCGCCCTATGCAGAGAAAATCTTGAGCATTAAAAACAGAGTCAGTGAACGCGAGTGGGGCCAGATATACACGGAAATAGATGCGATATTCAGAGAAGTGGCTATTAGTCGAGAGGATTTAGTGGAGAAGGCGAAAGGGTACGCCTCTCAAGGTATGAATGTGATGCAGAGTGTTCTGGTCAGCAGTACATCGGTTTTGGGCGGCAGCGCTAAGCTCGTTTTCTTGATCGCAAGCTCGATTCTCTCTGGTGCAGCGGGGCTATTCAATTTCGTTTCTCAGTCGATGGTTTTCTTTTGGGTTTTGTATTTCTTAATCACGTCGGAATCTGGTGGAGTGACGGAGCAGGTTATGTGCATGCTACCTATTTCCCAATCCGCTAGAACTCGGTGCGTTGAGGTACTGGACAATGCAATTTCTGGGGTTTTATTGGCTACGGTTGAGATCACATTCTTTCAAGGGTGTATGACGTGGCTGCTTTGTAGATTATTCTCGATACATTTCTTGTACATGTCGACTGTGCTTGCCTTTATTAGTTCGTCCATGCCTCTTTTTCCTTCGTGGATATCAACTATTCCAGCTGCTCTGCAGCTTGTGCTCGAGGGTAGATACGTAATTGCAGTTGGACTTGTGGTTATTCATTTTGTGCTTATGGATTACGGTACCACAGAGATTAAAGAGGATGTTCCTGGTTACAATGCTTATCTTACAGGTCTCAGTATTCTTGGTGGAATGACGTTATTCTCCTCTGCTTTCGAGGTAATTATGTTTTCTTGTACGAGAGAAGCTTTTTTTTTTTTTTTTTTTTCTGAGAAGTTTTTAGCATTTAGGTAGCTTCGAGAATTAACTTGATATTTGTCTTGCAGGGGGCGATAATGGGGCCGCTGATAACTACTGTTGTGATTGCTCTCAAGAATTTATACGTCGAATTCGTTTTGGAAGGACCGAAGGAGAAAAGTGAGTAAGAGAAGAAAAAAATGATGTTTTGGTGACAAGTGTGTGAGAGAACACATTCATTCTTGAGCTGTGTTTTTCGAGTGTTTTTATTGCTTCTGTAATCACATGAGGTTTGCCTTGTTCACCAACATGGTGTGTAAACTGTAATGTAATACGAATTCGTTGATTCAAAGTCGTGGTTTATAGGTAACTGTATATTAGTACTTGTGAATAGTAATTGTTTCATCCCACTGTTATGTTACTTATGTACATAGAGAATTGAAATCAGGAACGCAATAATGGTATACGATGACTTCGATCCTGTTTACGACCGGGGAAGTAGAAAACAGAACAATAACATTATACCACAAATACCAAATTCGAAACACAAATAGAGTATTTTCAGCATAAACAACAACGGGCATACGAAACCGAGATCCATCCTCTTTAATGTCAAATTTAAACACAAATAAGGATTGATTTGCCAGAAAACATTCCACCTAAGAAGACAGAATGTAAGAAGAGGTCATCAATCCAAAAACCCATACTTATATATGAATATATATTACATTCAGGAATATTTTGACAGAAACCGACGAATAGAGACCAGAATACTTGTTCTTCACTAGTGAACTCCAGCACTTGACATCCACTCTGTCAAAAGGGGCACCTCTTATTTCATGTACTTGTGGAGAAATTTGCGATGGAAATCACTTCTGATGGTGTCATTGATGAAGCGCTTGGCCAGTTTCGTCTCCCCACGAGCCTGGTTCTTGAAAACCACATCATCATCCCACCTTAACAAATTCAATTTAGAGGATAGAATTTAATTTAGACGGTAACAATATTATAAAAAATATAAACAAAACAAGAAAGACCAGCCAACCCCGAACCCCCAAAAGGGGAGGTGCAGGTGGGGTGGGGTGGGGTGGGAAAATAAATTATAATACCTTCTCTTCACACTAAAGGAAGTTGGATTATTTATCAGAGGATTTCCACGCAACAGTTGCTCTTCTTTAGCTTGCAGTTCCTCCTCTTGCCTTTGGCGTTCCTACCACAAGTACAAGACACCTCGTTAAGTTTTCATGTCGACCACACTTTTCAGATGCGGTGCACCAGAATACAGTCAATTCAAAGACAAAAAATAAAAAATAAACCTATATAATGAAAAAATAGGCACGCAAGTCCCAACTGCCCCAACCAACTCGCAGACATGAGATGCTAGAGGACTAAGATGATTATTATAAATATCACTTAAAAAAAAGAGTCATTTGCATTCCATGCGCCAAGGAGAGTTTTTTTTTTTTAAACAAAAACCGGTACTTATGAAAATATCTCAAGTACAGGAGCACGCAAGCAATTCATACTGATGATCTATATGGCAATACAATATTAAAATGCATGTAACAGAACCAGTAACTACATAATTTCAACTTATATAAATTAAGTGATACACAACTTACTTCTCTTTCTTTCTGCTCTGCTTTTTCTTTCCTTAAGCGTTCAAGCTCAGCCAAAAGTGCTTCTTCATCATCCCCATCATCATCATCTTCGTCATCACTACAAAGAAAATTGATATTAGTTGATTCAGCAAATGACCACAAGTTTGCTGCCGATGAGTAAAAAGGACAATGTATTAACGGGCAAACATAAATTACATGATTTTGTGTTCAAATTTGACATCAGTATATGATTAGTTTAAGATAGCAATCACCCCCATACCACCCTAACCCCCAACCCCTCCCTCACTGCACAATGTAATGGACCGGTATATAATACACACGGGAAATACCAATTACATTGGTAAATAAGAAGAAAATAGGAAATGACAAACCTATCATCACTTTCAGCATCAACATCATCTGCATCCACACTTCGAGGAACAATTCGGTCTTCAAGTTCTCTCCTGGACCCTGCATATATAGTTGCAACATTATTTAATATAAATGATAATTACAATTTACAACTAGTCCTCGATTCCTATACGTACAATTTCGAACAAACATATCAGGTATCATTTACCTTCTAAAAGAAGCTGACCTCCCTTCCGCCGTTCTCTATCCTCTGCAAAATATAATGAAGTCTCATATCAACAGTTGAAATCATTTAAGCAGAGAGGGAAAACAGATACTAAAAAATTAGTTTAATGCTAATATGCGCTGTATGCTTTTTGGATCTCGAATCGGACTAACCCTTTGATGAGAAATGCCTCCTCTCTCGATCCTCCAATTCATCCCGGAGATTTCTACGTTGCAGCTCATCTTGGGTGTCTTGTCCTTCCCTTCTGCAGAATCAGAAAAATACACAAAACATAGGAGTATTCAAACTACACCGTTCTTCAAATCATGGCATACGTAGAGAAGAAGAAATTGAATATATTTTCCAGAAACAAAGCAAAACATAAATAGTTAATCTTTAGCAACTACATGGCTGATGCCAAAATTAATTTATCTCAATCAGATATAGACACGCATGCGTATGATATTAGTACGCGCAGGGAAAATATATCCAGATATACATCGACAAATTTTATCATTGACAGTTTAAATCACACCACAAGTGATGATCCTTAAAATTCAGACACAATCATGTAAGTTCTTGGCTTTTTTTTGCAGTAAGAATGCAACAGCAGATGAAACCAAAAAATAGATACAACTTAGCACTTGTTTACAAGTCCTTTCAATCATTTTCTTCCGAAGAAGCTAAAGCTTTCAAAACAAAAGGGCAAACGTGGCGGACAATTTTCCGAACAACAGTGAAGCCTTTTCATTGGTATCTGAATCATCCATTCTTATATTCAATTGAAAAAATTCTCAATAAACATACCCAAACAAAACAGCACTAAATATACTTCAAAACAAAAAAATAGCAAACAATTAACCTAGATTCGAGTGGAAGACAATAATGCAAAAAAAAGACGAAAACACGAACCTAGGTTTTAAGGTAGTATGAGCAGCGATATCCCGCGACGAATACTTTTGAGATGGGCCGAAGATTCTCGCTCCGCCTTGTTCGTTCCCACCTTTCGCCGGTGCCCACGTCGGTCTAGCTGCCGTCGTCATCCCGAATCGCTGGCTCTCTCAAAATTCAAGCAAAACGATCAATACAACAAGATTCAGTGGTGGAAGAAATCGAAATTCTACGATATTGAAAAAACTAGGGCTTCTATCTCGTTCTTCGATTTGAGAATGAAAAATATCAGGGACGAAATTCTCTCTTATTGATCCTGCTGAAAAAGCTAAACGACGTCGTTTATGTTGGAGTGGGACCCATTTGTAATTGGGCTATGACGTCAGCACCTACATGGGCCCAAGCCCAAATTTAATCATTCAATTGTGCTTATCCAATGGTCTATTCAATTTTGGCAGCCCAATCGTGGTCTAAATTTAATTTTTTGATTTGTTTTCAAGCTTACAAGCTCTTCCAAAACATTTCGTATTATTTTAAATAATATCTTAAGAATTCAAAAAATAAGTTATTTGATAGAAAATAAGATTATTTATTTTTTAAATATATATACCTCACATTTTATTTAAGATCCTATTATGAATAAAAAAATAGTTTATAAGTTCATTATTCAAACACTTTAAAAATTAATTATAAAAATGAAACGTAACAACTTATATCAACTCTTAACACAGTTTATCAGACGTAAGATATTATCAGTTGTTTAAAAATAAGCTTAACTACTTGATTAAAATAAGTTGTTTGAGAATAAGATTAGCATCTATAATTCATCAATTTTACTGACGAAAACATTAGAATTTGAGATTGAGTGAATTTTTAGTAAAATTATTAAACTTCAGTATTTAAACAAAATATGATGGTAAATTTATATTTATAAAAAAAATGATCGATAGCTTATGAAAACTGACAATAAACTCCTAGTATCGAAGGCAAACTTCTATTAATTAATTAACAAAAGAAAAACATGAGAATAAACGTTTGAAGATGGCGATAAATATCGAAGATCGACCGTTTCTTGTTATAAAATGGTCGAAATTGGCTTCAAACTTCTAAAATCGGTTATAAATTAACGGTAAAAATTTACTGTCGATCTTCAAGATTTACAGCCGATTTTCAAAAGTAATAAACGATTTTAGCTAACTATCCCTTAAAAAATTAAGATATTTATCAATTCATTGCAATAAAATAAAGTTTTATTTTGAAATTATCCATATGAAAAATAATCATGATATAAGATAGGGGTCCCTTACAATTGAGACCCTAGACAATTGTCTAAATAGGCTAATGATTGAGCTAATAACCCTAAACCATGACCACAAATTGATATATGATTTATTAGCAATTTTTTTTTTTTTAATTTCCCAAACGTTGCTCTAGCACCACCTTGTCATAAACATAGTTATACTGTGACCGAGTCCCGTAAATGATGACCTAGCGATTAGAGCAGAGTAAGTAAGCTTAACGTGCTAGACGGTTAAACAAATAGGAGTGACTAAAATAAATGCCATTTTTTTCTAACATCAATACCACCAACATAATAAATAAAAAGAAAATAGAAAATAAATAGGTAATGACGTTATTATCCTTAATGAAAATCAATAACACACGCAAAATTTGTGTAGTATTGATTTTATTAAAAGTATTAATGTCATTACTTATTTATTTTCTATTTTTTATGTTGTTGGTGTCGAAGTGAGAAATAAACGGTATTTGTTTTAGCTGTCTCGTAAACAAATAGATGAGAGGAAGTTAGGCCAACCGTTGTGTGCAGTTTAACTCACTTGGAATCAAAGCTAAGCAGTTGGGTTCTTGGTCGCCATCTGAATCACATATCTCACCTTCCACTCTTCTAATTTCCCAACCCTTTTTTTTTATTATTATTTATTATTATCTATATTAATTTCAATATAATGGCCCTTTTTATTTCATAATAGCATGTAAGAATCTCGATTTTTTTCGTAAAAAAATCGGTTTTTTTTTTTTTTTCCGATGAACACACGGTATTTTTTCACACCGGATTCATTATGCACTTCAGTTTCGATTACGTCGATTTTGCCGGCAGAAGAGAGAGCCGCTCCGAGTAATTCGAATCCATTCTCTCATCCTAGGCCGTCGTCTCGAAACAACTCGCCTTCGTTCTTGATAAAGTTAGCCATGAGAGTGTCGAGGTCGAGATGGTACGTTTATCTGAGAAGAGTCTTCCATTACCAAAACGGGTCCGGGTCGGATCTCGGCCCGAACCCTTTCGACTCCCGGAACTGGATGCTGATGGAACTCGTGTCTCTGTCCGTCCAGATCATCGCCACGTCGTACACTCTGATTGTTTCCGGAGGGGAGCGACCCGTTTGGCCCATGCGCATATGGGTCTCCGGTTACGCTTTCGGGTGCTTTCTCAGTCTCGTACTTCTTTCGTGGCGCTATCGCCTTGTTTACCTAATTGGTACTGATATTGAGCAGCAAAGAAACCATGAAGAATCAAGGTAATTCAAATAATGGTTTATTGCATTCGGCACCCCTATATTTTTTCTAATTGCTACGAAACTCCCCATATTATTTTTTTTAACAAAACCACCCCTAACAACTCATGTTTATAACATGAAGTGTTTTTTAGCAATTCGATACAACACAGGGGTTCTAAATGAAATTAACTCGTAAAACAACTCAAATTAATACTAGTTAATTAATCAAACTATAGATTATTTAATTAATAGTTTTAAAATGTTATACATACATCTTCTGATACAGTTAACATCTATAAATTAATACAGTCGAGACTAGCATAGTTTTATTAATTTAGCAAAAAATAAAATTATTGAACTAATAATTTAGTAGGTCATTATTACCGAATCAGAACCAGAAAAAACTATTATTTATAAAGTTATTAATTTTATCGAAGTATTAATTTATTGAGATTTTACTGTATATATATATGTATATATATGAACAGAAACATGCAATGCATGTACAAATTCAAGACATGGCTGGAGCTGATATTCGCAATATGGTTCGTGATGGGGAACGTTTGGGTGTTCGATGCTCGTTTCGATTCTTTCCGTCACGCTCCGAAGCTCCATATCTTGTGCATCTCCCTCTTAGCATGGAATTCAGTGAGCTACTCTTTTCCATTCATACTGTTTGTGCTGCTGTGCTGTTGTGTGCCACTGCTTAGCAGCATCCTAGGTTACAACATGAACACCGGGTCCCACCAAAAGGGTGCGACCGAAGAACAGCTCGCCGGCTTGTCCAGCTGGAGGTACAAGGTTTTGGAGCTTGGAACTTCAGCCAAGAACCATGAATTTCCAGTATGCATGTCTCTTAATAACTTAATAAACAATATTTTCAAGTCATATAAAATATAAATCTTATTTATATTTCTGATATTGAATAAAGGGTTTAATGGGGTTTTTTTTTTGTTAATTTATTTAATTTTATTTTAAAATAATTTTTGCAGGAGTGTTGTATTTGTTTGGCAAAGTATAGGGAAAAGGAAGAAATAAGGGAGTTGCCATGTAATCATATTTTTCATTTGAATTGTGTGGATCAGTGGCTCAAGATTCTTTCATGTTGTCCTCTTTGTAAGCAAGGGATTGAGAAATAGAAATGCACTTGATTTTTGTTATTGTTAGTACAAGTTTTGTACATTTATAATATTTATTTATTATATAAAAGTTAAATAAATAAATAAAATTATAAAATTGAAACCATGCTACACAAATGCTCAACCAAAGAACCTCCAAATAAAAAGCATGACTAACACTTTTTCTGAGTTAGGTGATTAGTGATTGTAATACTTGTTGTTCGTCGTGAAATTTGAATTACTGTGAGACTGTGACAGAGTGGAAGCGATACATTTTATCAGAAGTTTTAGATTTTATCAGAAGTTTTAGTATCATTTACTCGATTATATTTCAATATCAGATGGCAGAGTTCGGAGGTTTGACCGTCACCGGGTTAATCCCACTTATTTTTTTATGGAAGAAGCTTGGATTTATAATTTGATATTATATAATTAAAAAAAAATGTAACTAAAAAATAAATACGAAATAGAATTGTTTGAAACTGAATCATCTATTTTACTTTTGAGAAAAATATTTTGTAATTTCGATGAAATAATAATAAAAAAAAAAAAAATCGTTTTAGAATTAGCTACGTAATCATTAGAAATTACATTATATTATAATCATAAAAAGGGGAAAATTATTTGATTTTACCGACTCGTATGGCGGTGAAGCATTAGGCGGTAAATAAAATAAAAATGTAAAATACTATTTATTAAAGGGAAAAAAAGTCACGTGCGAATGGCACGCTTGAGAAGAAGGGTATTTATTCAATCTTCTTCATTCTAATCCTTTCTTCTTCCTCTTTTCACGTCTCTCGTTTTCTCCGGTGTCCTCCGGCAAGCTGTTCTGCTCCTCCGGCCGATTTTAAGGTGAAATCCAGACCTCAAGTTTTACATGTAATTGAAATTCATTGTATTATGATGATTTATTTAGCTTTCGCTCTTAATTGTTCTAATATGCACCTCTTTTTATGAATTCAAAAATCATTTCTGGATGTTTGTGAAAATTGCACTCGATTAACGGGGATTTATCTTGTTTCGAAGATAAAATCCGGTTCTATTTGGTTCTCGATAGCTAGTTCTCAGAGAAAAAAGAATTTTGTTTTTTTTTGGTTCTTATTTTTATTGAAAATAAAAATAAAAAAAGATTTGCGTGTCTGTAATTTGGGAATAATTAAATTGTTTAATTGTGTTGATTGATGTGACTGTATTCCTGCTATCTATGATATATATCTGGTGGTGTGTTGTTGTTTTCAGGTGATACCTTGAATAAGCAGTGAGATGTCACTGACGGCCTCGATTGCTAGTCCAATTACATCACTGTCTGTTGGTATGTAGAATGTAGATAATCCATCAATTGTCTAAAGTTGATGAAATTGAATGTTGTTTATCAAAATGTAACTAGCAATGAATTTCACTTGTGTTTTTGTTGACAAGAGTATCTAGGTTTTTTTTTTTTTTTTTTTTTTTATGAGAATGATGGGCTACCTTGTGTATTCACATCTTCGTACGTGTCACTATCTTACTCTTCATACATAGAAATGGTCGTCGTGTTCTTTTTTTTTTTACTGTTTGGAGCACATAACTCTAGTTTAGGCTTAAGATGCCAAGTGTGCATTGGTATAGCGTAAAAATGGTCATTTGACTTCTGTAGAAAGTATCGAATGAACATTAAATCTTTCTCGGTAGAGAACTTTTTGAATGTTGGGACCATAGTTATTGAGATAACAAATATATTTTATTCTATGCTTTGAGAAGTCTCTTTCTGGATGTGTTATTAAGCTGGTTGATTAGTTCTATGCATTAAAGTGATTGCAGTGGATATGATGCAGTTGAATCGTGATTGCAGTGGATATGATGCAGTTGAAGCGTCCTCATACTCTAATTAAGTTTACGAGGACAAGTTACTGCCTGTGAGCTATCTAAGAATGACGATAATAAATAGTTATATTGTTCTTGTAATGTGGCGTTTGCTGTTTCATGGTTTTCAATGCTGTTAATTAACTGCGTATCGTTTGAAAACATGATTTGGAATACGTTCTGTTTCTTTTCCCCTTGTATGGGCATTATAGACGGATTTTGTTTGTCTTTTCAGTACGCTCAGAAGATAGGTGTTTGAAGCAACCAAAGAATGTTTGGTCCAGTCCAGTTGGACTAAATCCACTCAGCCTGCAATTTCATCCCTTTGAAAGAAAAAGAATCACTAATCATGCTTATAGGGTGAAGCATTCTTCTGTCATATGTGCTGCTGCTCTGGTAATTTTTACCTTATAGTTTGTAGTATATACTCATACATACTTCAGCTTTTCTCTATTGAGTATGTTTCGTGTCTTTCAGATGGAATTTCACTGTTTGTAAATTATATATTCCTTGCATGTGGAGTTAGTTATGCTTTTGAACCGGACCGCGTACCTGAAAAACAGATTGCATCCTTTTTTGGTTCAAGGGAATTAAGTTATTTGTTATTAGTTTTGAAAACTTTCTGGAGACTGTCAGAAATAATCCCGATTTTATCTCTAAGTTTTGCATCTACTTGGGATATCAGATGATAAGTTACCTGAATGCTGACTAGGTTTTTGTTTTTGCAAATGTAGAATGCCACCTGTGCTGCAGAACAAACTCAAACAGTCACACGTCAATCGTCTACTATTACTGTTGCACCTATCCAAGGTAATAATCTCGTTTCTTATTACTTATTATTTGCTGCCCATTGTAGTGTGAAATTTAGAACTGTAAATAAATTGGGATGTTCCTTCTTGATGCTAAAAAACCATGTTTAGGGATGCGTGCTTGGTTTGAAGTTAAATTTATACTGCTCTAGCCTGACTTACCTAGCCCCTAGCTAATGCTCGATTATGCCAGTTCACGACTAATAACTATTATACAATAACTATTGGAAAGAAATGAGCATCTTCTTTCATTTTCTGTAATTTTATGCCTCGTTTTCTCTCTAGGACAAGAAGGTAAACATTTCCAAATATATGAAGAAAAAAAAAACGCTTTTTTTTCAGGGAAAGAAAAGTCTCCGGATCTTGATGATGGCGGGGACGGATTTCCACCACGTGATGATGGTGATGGTGGTGGCGGTGGCGGCGGCGGTGGTGGAAACTGGTCGGGTGGTTTCTTCTTTTTTGGCTTCCTTGCTTTCCTCGGTTTCTTGAAGGATCAAGAGAGTGAAGGACCATACCGAGATGAACGGAGAAGATGAGAGATGTTATATACACACGCTCTTATATGTATCTACAATCTTGTAGTTGTTCTTATCTCTCATTGTTCTATTATTTGCTTGCTTTTCGATCCAAAATTTAGAAGCGAATCGTTTAATGAGTTGACAAGTTGGAAAATCAGTAACGATGTGTCCTCGGTGTCTGTCATTGAATAAAAACAGTTTACGAGTTTCGATCGAGAACGAATGCATAATAAGCTCACGGATCTTCGTTCTATTTGGATCGACCGACCGACGTATTACGGGCCGTTAGGTGTGCTTTGTCCCTGAAAATGATAATTTTTATTAAATTAAACAATATGTAAATATTAATATTTGTGGAAACCTAGTAAATTGTAATCCTAATAGGATTGCAATAGAAGGTATTTAATCCCAATAGTAATTCTAATTCGAAGTGGAATACTATTAATTATTATATTAGGTAATTAAATTAACGGACTCCTAATTACTATAGGACACGTAACCCTATCTATATATGCATACATCGTTAATACACCAACTTTATTCACATGCAACAAAATCTATCTTTCAAAAGAAAAAAAAAACTCTGTTCGATAATTCAATAATATTCTTCAATGGCTTCTTCTTCTTCTCTAGTTCAGAAACAAAAGCTCGTGTTCTTAGTTCTAATAATCAGCCTGTTGTTTTCGTACGGTAACGCCAATTGGTACGGTACCGGTATGACTAATCTCGGTAACCCAGATTCGATTGACCCGAATGGTAACGTAATTAATCCGTTGAAGGTATGACTAATCTCGGTAACCCAGATTCGATTGACCCGAATGGTAACGTAATTAATCCGTTGAAGAAGTGCGGATTCGATAAGATGTACCTACTCGGCGGGTCCCTTTCCGACACCGGGAATTTGATCAGCGAAACCGTCGGCTCTACTTTGCCCTTCGGTAAACAACCCTACTCGCATGGCCGCTCCTCCAACGGCTTGTTGATCACCGATAATTTCGGTAAGTAATTTATTTTTTAATTCAATTTTCACTAGTAATCCGTTGCTAGTTGCTACGATTATCGTATTTTAATTAATTAATATGTGTACTGATTGTTTGTTTTAATTTTGTCGTTGTTCTTGATTAGCGTACGAGGCAGGGATTAATCCGATACCTGATCCCTACAAGGATTTGAATTTTTATTTCAATAAAGGAGTAAACTTCGCCGTGGCGGGGTCCACAGCTTTGCCAACAGAAGTATTAGCGACGAAATACATGATTTCGTCTCCGGTGACAAATAGTTCTCTCAATATCCAATTGGATTGGATGTCTGACTATTTCAGCTCCGCCACGTGCCTCACAGATAATGGTAATTAATTAATCACGTCACATAATTCTTGATTTTGATTCTGTTAATTAACAATTAACGCGTGACTAATTACGTTGTACTTGATCCAATAATCGGCAGGTTGTACCGACAGATACAACAAGGCAATTTTCTTCGTCGGAGAAATCGGTGGTTCCGATTACCAGTACGCAATCTTGCAAGGAAAACTAACCATGGATCAGTTGACAGATATGGTGCCTGATGTTGTTGCTGCTATTATCAATGCTACAAAGGTACGTGCATGAGTTTTTTTTTTTTTTTTTTTATTGTTTTTAATTATTATTATTGTTATTATTAATTATTATTAATAATTGTAGAAAAAGAAGCCAATTCACAATTATTAGATTTAGATCGAAATATTGATTTATTATTTCGTATATAAATTGCAGGGAGTACTTAACTTGGGAGCTAGAAGAGTGGTGATTCCCGGAATATTCCCTCTCGGGTGTCTCCCGATTTACAAGACGCTCTTCCAAAGCAACGTCTCGACAAACTACGACGAGAATCAATGCCTCAATCAACTCAACGATTTAGCGAAGAACCACAACGAACAACTGCAACAAGGCATTAACAGTCTCATGCAAGAGAATCCGAATGCGGTACTAGTTTACGGAGATTACTACCAGGCTTATAAACACCTCCACCGGATCGCCACACTCAACGGTGCGCAACTAATTAAATCTCAATCGAACATGTATTTATATAAATAATCAACGCGTGTTAATTCTTCTTCTTAATTATTGAACATAATATCATTCTAAGTACGTTTTCTGACGATTATATTGATTGAATTGCAGATTTCGACACGGAAAAAGCTTGCTGCGGGATCGGAGGCGACTACAACTTCAACGTAACGACAATGTGTGGTCATGGCGGCGTCAATAATTTTATGGGTCGTAATAGGTACATTAGCTGGGACGGGATTAATTTGACGAGAATCGGTAACAAGATTATGGCGAATTGGTTGATCCGGAAGACCGTGCCGAAGCTTCAATGCCAATCCTGAAGGCCTGCAATTAATTAAGCACTAGTCTATTTGATCTTAGTATAATACTTAGAAATTTTGTAATTTCTTGTAGTAATTTGGTCAAATTTTTTTTGAGATTTCATACATTTGTAACTCAAATCTTTGTGGAACTTATCAGTAAATTAATGGAAAAGGTTAAAGTTTTTTGCTCATAATCTGTATTTGAGCAATAGGTTTTGCAATATGTCTTTTTCTTTTTGTCTCTCTAAAAAATAAACAACCTAAACAACTATAAGCTATAATTTAAAAAAAATCCGATTAACCGTTTTTTTCTATTTAAAGTTAATTCCCGGTGTATTTGCCAATACCGCCAACTTTTTAGTAGTAAGCACTTAATTCCAACTTGATTCACAGTCATTGATTTAATCACTTAACTCAAAAGTGATTCTACGAATTATCAAATCAAAAGCAGAAAAAGGAAAAAGAGACATCAAAACATGGCCATGTTGCCACTTCAAAATTTATTTATACTAAACTAAACATTTTTTTACATAAAAAAAAAAAAAAAGTGAAATTAAAGTTGTAACAAATATCTAGTCAGTGGGCCTGGTCCAGGTTGTTTCCGAGGTCAACATGTTTCCATAGTAGACTTGCTTTGAAGAGTCATCCAAGAAAACCTGAGGAAAAGAAAAAGGAAAATACAGAGTTGAAATTAATAAATAACACGACAATTTTTGTATTTATGTCTTCGTATTTTCTCATAGGGCCAGAAATTAAAGTACCTGCCATCCGGATGGAAGACCTTTCGAGAGTTGTGTGAGATCAGTTTGCTTTTTAGTATCAATATCTGGCGAACTTTCTTTCATCTTTTGGGCTCTCTTGCGCTTCACTCTTTCTCGCCTGCATGATCAAGACCAGATGCATAAGGATACAAAGGTGGTGGGAGTAAGCCATAAATCGATATAATAATCAAACCACGCTAAATTGGGATTTTATTGCTAAACAAACTTATTCGGATTATATTTGTTAAAACCATATCGACTGGATTGAAGATTGTTCAAGCTTTATTCAATTAAGTTGTTTTTATACTTATAAATATGAGATTTAAAGCCAGAAAGCCAAGATCAATACCAGTCACCACCTAATGGCTGAAAATTAGCATTATCTTTGGCCTCGCCGGTGGCAATCTGATGTGCTCGCCATTCCTGTAATTGCAAGGAGATTAAAGAGAGAGAGAGAGTAGGGTGGGGTAGGTGATTGTTGGAGAGGGAGGGGGCGCGGGGATGCAGAATAGAAAAAACCTTAGACAGAATATTCAAACCTCAATTTCCCTTTGTCGTTTCTTCTCTAAAACTTCATAAGCATCTTCTGGTTCTTCTTCTTCTTCCTGCAACTCCTCTTTTGCAGCTTTCCACTGATGAAAGTTACAAGGTTTCACGAATCAGAATAACATAAAGAGAGAAAATGATAATCATCTATCCGATAGCAAAAGAGGGACTAATAACAAACCTTGTCCACTAAGCTGGAAACTTTCTTATTGGATCTCAATGTAGATACGACTGCAACAGTTCGTTTCTTGCCTCGCGGAACTGCAAAGATGAAATGAATCCAGACATCAGATGTTTGCAGTAACACAAACAAATAAATGGGACGAACATTCAGACTTCTTGTTTATCCATGCAGAAGAACAATAACAAGAGATTATTAAGATTTAATAAATAAGTTGCTTCTGTAATCAACATTAAGATACGTCGAACACGAACACCATAACTTGCAGTACCAAGAATAAACAACGCTCTTCAATTATTACCTTTTGATTGAGTCTTCGATGTTGCAGTAGCAGGTGGAGCAGAAACAGAAGTGGTAGTGTCAGACATTGATGAGGCAGAAACACTGTTTGCCACTGAAGAAGTTGCTGGAGCTACAATAGAGGGTTGAGCTACAGGAATCTCTCGAGGGCTCTTTACAATGCCATAGCTGGTCTTTGGTAACAAATTGGACACATCTTCAGCACGTGAATCTACGGATCCTGCTCTACCAGATTCCATAGTTACAAGAACAGGTTCACTTAGCGTACCCGTAGACTGAGCTCTCTCACTAACCACAGGCACAGGGTTCAAGGTACCACTTTGAAGGCCGTAATAGGCTGTATGCTCAGCAGGGTTGACTATCACAGGAGCAACAGCATATATGTTTGGGACGGCTTCATAATATTGTGGTAAGTGGGAAACGGGAATTTGCCCTCCCTCAGAATGCATATAAAAAGTAGCACCGGAAGTTTCAAGGGTCGTTTGCCCATAGTATTCAAGACTAGAAGCAGGGTATGGTAGAGAATAATGATCTGGATAAGAAAAAGGTTGAACGGACCCCAAATGAGGTGGAATATATGAAGTTCCTGGAGGCTCATCGGGCGGTGGGGGAGGAAAAGGTTCGTCGTCAGGAGGTGGTGGAGGAAAAGGCTCATCGTCAGGCGGTGGTGGCGGAATCCACTCTTCCACTGGAGGAGGAGCACTAAATACTACAGCTTCCTGGCCTGCAAGTGAATTCTGCAGATTTGACAGCTCTGTTGAGACATGGTAATGGGCACCAGATGCACCTCCATCAGATGGGTTCATTGGAGATGCATCCTCAACTTCCATGTCCACATCCATGTCAACATCTTCAGCAGAACGAGGAGCAGGTCTGGGAGTTGATTCACTTTCCTTTTCAACTCTAGCTATTCCATTTTGTCCACCCAGATTGTTGTCAGGATCAGATTGTTCTGTGGTGATGGCGCCATCATTACAGGCTTCAAAATTTGACGCCTCACGGTTGTACCCAGCATGGGATTCCACAGCAGCAGAGGGTGCCTCCCTTTCACTTAAATCAGTATCCTTGTCATCACCTACACGTGATTCTAATGCAGCCTTGAATCCAACCAGGGATGTAGAATTGTTGTGTTGAACCAAACCATCTAACGCAGCTTCGAGTTTTTTCAGCTGACTTTCAGAATGCAGCCAAAAGGCAAGCAATGATGATCCGTGATATGCTAATGCCTTCATGTCAGCAAGTCTAATCTCAGTTTCTAATGTCCACTTGAACCTAAGATCTTGACCTTCCACATCGCACTTCGAACTGAATTAAAGAAGAAAAAATAATCAGTTACATGAAGACAAAGAAACAGGGGTTGAGGGGGACACGGGGCACTCAGAATGCCATGGTGTGAGTGCAAATCAATAAAACCCTTATGTTGCTTTGAATTAAATTTACAACATTACATTAGTGTTAAAAGTGAAAATACAGGAAGAAGTGGCACATTGAGTACCTTTTCACAGAGTTCAATCTCTCTAACAAGCTTTCACACTGCTTTATGAACTGCATGGGAAGATCAGTACCACTTTTACTTTCAATAGTATGTACACCAAGCATAGAAGTTCCATTACTCTGGTTTGCGTCTCTGTTAACTTTATTGTTGTCCATAGAATCACCCCCAGAGTCATCCTTCCCTTTACCGGCATTATTACTGATTTGGCAATTGACCTCAGAATCGACATCAACTTTCCCAGTAGAGATATCATCTTCTTCCATGTTTTCTTCCATCACAGTATCATATTTTCCTGTGGGATCACCGACAACTTGCTCTGCAGACGTTGTGACAGTTTCCTGAACAAAAACATCAGGTACTTCCCATGAAGTTTCACCTGTCACAATATTCCAATAATAGTATTGATTACTCTCTTCATGCAGCACCATGTTCCAGCCTGAAGTCGCATCCCCAATAAGATGATTATCAGATGCAGCTTCAACCAATTTATTTATTTCATTCTGTAAATCATCAGAATGTATCCCTGCAATGCTCTCTTTCTCAAGTTTCTGCAGAGGATCCCGAGAGGCAGAATCGTTATCTGTCAGAAGCTGTTCCACCTTCTGAACTGTTGGATCTTTCCCATGATTAATTTCAGCACATTCGGCTTCTCTCTCAGTATCAGGTTTTGTCTGGGAAAAAAAAAACCAAGATAAATCAGGACATAAAAGAAAGATATAAAATGAAGATCCCAGGTACACAAATTTGATAAATCCAGCCACTAAATTTCATACCACGTCCAGCATGGCAGTTCATTGTTAATTGTTTATACACTCACCTCCTCATCATTGTCAATTGAAGCATCCGCTGCAACAACATGATTTGAATCCTCATCCAACTCATCATCACTATATTGCTCGAGCAGCAGTAGGGGATTTTGTGGCTGTGTCCCTGCGCAGAAAAACGAAGACTACAGTGTCAAACATCACCCAAAAAAAAAAAACTGAACAGAACCACTTGATTGTCAACGAAATTTCACTGAACAAAAGACAATAGTTATTGAAGAGAAACGGTCATCAAAAGAACATTAGAAAGCTAATTTAACACAGGAGCCAAAAGTTTAGAACATTCGGCAAGGCCACCACACCTGTAGCAGAAATTTCAAACCGTCAGTATTGCCAAATGGAAATAAAGCCAAAGACATACGAACCAATTGGGCAAAATTCCCCGTGAACTCCAAAACCGCCTTTGATGTCGCCAAAAAAATAGCAAGACGGGTTGAGAGTCTACAGAATAATGCACTGTGGCAGGGACGCAGATGTAGTCTGATAACCATTTGATTGTTCCCAATACCACAGCAATCCTACAGTCTGAAAACAAAATTTTTCGGGGGTGCAAATAACATGCCTTGCACAAAAAATTCCAATATTATGCGATTCACATCATGCCTTCTCTACAAAGAGCAGTCCTTTGAAGAAAAATCTGACAGAACCCACCTGAAGATGATGGTGAACTAGGTGACTTGGCATCGGTAATCGAGTCACCATCCCCTCCAACTTGTTCCTGACCAGAGGAGCCACCCAAATCTCCTAATAGCGTTAATAACAAACAAAAACACAACCTCGTAAACATAAGAAAACAAAACTGAACTTTCGATATATATTACGGAAATATAATAAAAGAACAACAGCTTTTCTATTCTCAAGAGCCTAGTACTAATTATCCAGAAACAACCACACGAGAAACATCAAATCCAATAATTGTACAAGGCATCACGAAACATTAACTAGAGCAATTCAAATGTCTTCCGAACCAAAAAAGAACAGCAATTCTGTTCAATAGTATATCCTATATCTTAACACGGCAAAGCCAAATTAAGGCATATCTTAAAACGCTAGGCTGTTGAATATTCCTAAAATTAGCTCAATCTTATTATCTGAACCACCATAATAGGATAAATCGAAGTTGCAGAAAAAAAAACAAAAAACAGAGTTGAGCGAGCATACCAGAGGGTTCTGCGAACAGATCGAGTTTTACTCTACGACCACCGGCGGCAGCAATTCGACGCTCCTTTCGCCGCCCCATCGGAATACTAGCTTATCAAATCCGGAAACACCACCACCAAAAGAAAATTTCTGAGGACGAGTGATTAATTAAAGGACTCAATTATCTTTTCAAACGAAAAATAAACAGAATCTGATTATTCATATGAAGCCCTAGAGAAACACTCGTGTCAATTTCGTAATTTATGGGCTTCGAAAGTAGTCGTCTTTGTATTTTTTGGGCTTATTTGTCATAACCTAAAGTAAATAACCAACTTTTACTGCATGGTCGAAAGATTTAGGGTAAATTACGGCCATCCCCCCTGAGGAAGGTCAAATTACGAAAAATTCCCCATATTTGGGTAATTACAAACACACCCCTAAACTATAAATACTCTTGCACATCCACCCTTATAGTTTCAATTTCAACATTACCTTCTAGATTTTATTGAATGTTATCTATTTTGTACTCGTTTTGTGCAAAAATATCGTTTCTGATGCATTACAATCTGATATTTACAAGGCAAGAGACACATTTTATGATCATCTTGTTTCAAAATGTGGAGCTCGAATGGATAAAACGGGTACAAATTGAAAAATATTACACATAGTTTAAAAGATTCCACTAAATTCGACACCGACACGATAGACGTATAAAAAGATTTATAACTAGGGTGATTATAATTACCCAAATCTTACCTCAGAGGTGGTGATTATAATTTAACCTAAAAATTATATAGATCTTTGGCTAAGTCTTAAAGGGATTCACAATTTCAGACCATTCAAATTTAACCCCTATATAATACTTGAATTATAAAACAGTACAAATAGATTATTCAGTAGCTGGTAGTTAACTAGTAACTACTATAAAGTCTATAATTAATCTTGGCCCTGCCATTAGTAGATGGTTAATAAAAAAATTACAAATTTCTTCACAGATATTACTTATCCCGCCAAAAAAAAAAACTTGTACTACCTTATAGACGAATCGAGCTTTGATTGAAACGACCGTTTCATCTATTCGACGATACTTTTGTTCCAATATGTTTGTCTGTATTGCTGTTGCAGTTGTGGCTGAGGAAATGGAGGAAGGATGGAACCCACTGGTCCACCTACTCGGTGAGACGACATATCGTGAAAAGAATTATGACCAAAACGTCCTTCTCGTTGAGGGTTGTAATGCTACATCGAAGAGTAAGTGAGATAACCTCTAAAAGAAGCTGCGAAAGTGGAATACGCTCAAGTAACTTACTAAACTTACCGCTTTCCTCCGATCACGTTTCCTTTTGACCTCATAACACGTATCTGCCAAATGGATTAAAAGCATGCATATAACTAAACTTTTTCGTCAATGAAATATCCAAATACCAAACTAAGCCACTAGGTCGACGTATCTATTAGTTTTTAATCTTAAAACGACAATCGAACTTTTTCATGAGGCAAAAACTTAATTGTCTAGTGAGAGTAACTCAAAAGGCTGCATTCCTTTTTTCATTTCCACATGAAGAAAAAAATATCAAACTCTTACATATTTCCTCTTCGTTTTGTTCAATATTAAAAAGCAAATCATGTACTTTCAGTGGCGGAGCCAACATAGTGCCAGAGGGGGCCATGCCCCCCCAGTTATTCTCGAATCCCTATTTTTTATGTAAATTTTTAAAAAATCGTGTATGATTAGCATTATCGTCCCCTCCCCCCACCAATTCTTTTTTTTTTTTGATGCATTCCGCCCCTGTGAACTTAAAATTCTGTCTCCGTTAGTGAATACCTTGATTAATCAACTTTGTTATTAATTAAGATTTAAGAGTGCAGATTTTCAAACTATACCATGTTTTGTTTTAATTTTCTATTTTTGGTAGGCCAAAAGAAAATATTGGTAAATAATTAAAAAAAAAAAAAAAATTAATTCTTTGTATAAAGAGAGTATATAAAATATGATTCAATTTCTTTGCTAAAAGTTTTTTAATGGGTCAGAAGAATGTAGTATTCTTGTCAATAAGACTTGTTTAGTGTAAAAGTGTTTTGAAAATGAAATATATATAGATAAAATTATATATTTTCTTTCTAGTCCCAAAATAATTTTAAATTTCATTTTAGGCCCCAAAATAGTTTTTTCTCTTAGATGTGAACGGCACCATGTGATGAGGAACTAAATGTGTTTAAAAATAAACTTTTGATGTGTATTTTGTTAAGTTGGGAACAACATGGACCAAAAATAAGATCTGATTAAACATGAGGGACAAAAAATGTAATTCTTCCGTCAATAAACTCTTTTTTGTTCTTTCGGTAAGGTTTAATGAGAATATGAACGAAATTATATATAGAGACTAATTCGAATGTCAATAAACTCTTTTTTGTTCTTTCGGTAGGGTTTAATGAGAATATGAACGAAATTATATATAGAGACTAATTCGAATTGCAAAAAAAGAAAATAAAGCAAAAAGGAAATCTCCATGCTACAAGCTCGATTTCTTACCAACCACACAAACACACACACCCACATTGGTATGTGGAGCAACAGTAAAAAGCCATCCGGTGTAAGTTGTAACCTTCACCGGGTGTAGCATATAATAAGCTAATTATCGATGCAAAATTCTAGGAAACTAACACTGAAGATTAACTACTACCTAAAAAACTTCAGCAATGTAAAATCCAATAAAACATAAGTCTAACACAAAATACACAGTAATTATTTCACCACACTCCATCCTACCACAAGTTAAAGGAGAATAAATATATGCAAACCAAGGGACAAAATACAAACTACCTCTGTTTCGGTACAGAACGCCTTAGCCTCTTGTACTTCCTCTGAACATCGTCTTTGCCCGATACAAGATCAGTCTTATTAGCCACTGATTCTCCATCTGTTAATGACGTGGCCGGTGATTTGACATACTCGTGAACAGTTTCTTGATCGGAACTTTCTTTATCCATGGCCTCCTCCCCTTTCCTCTTCCCTCCAACACCTTCATCAACGTCATCGCACGACTCATCAACCTTCATCGTTTCATCTGAAACCGGATCACCCGACGAAGGGTCAGGATTTATCGAGTCTTTCGTCCGAGGGCTAGCTGAGCCCGACTCTGTTAAAGTCTCAGAAGGTTCATAAATGGAGTCCGTCGCTGGTTTAACATCCATCGCCACCTCAGCACGGTCTTGGTCGACACTAGTCCCGTTAAACATTGTGGGGTCCACATATTCCGGTTGAGGTGCAGGTTGTTCGGGTACAGGCGGCGAGATTTCGGTACCTCCATTCTCTTCTTGACCGTTCATTTGTCCGGCGGTATCTGCAGACTCTGTTTGTATCGGTGCATTATCCTCTGGCGGCAGAGCTAAATCCTGATTGGCCGGTGGGGGGTCGCCACATGGCATCTCTAGCATGGACGGGTTTTGAGGACATGGTGAAGCTTCTCTGCTTCCAGTTATGGTGTCCAACTCTATCATTTCCAACTGTAGATTGTCCTGCAAATCTTGCAAAGGCGAGTCTCTAGAGAGTGGTGTAGTCAAAGGCTCGATATCCTGTAGAGGAGTATGGTTTTGCTGCAAAGCAGATGTTGCTCCAGAGGTACACATGAAATACGAACTGTCTGCTGAATTCGCACCGAGCAAGTATCCACTCATTCCACCTCTCCTCCTCGGCTTACAGTGCTTCATTTTAGGGCCATCTGGCATTGTATCGAGTGTTGAAGGTATGGATTGGTTTCCGTTACTCATTCTCAAAGTAAACGCACAAATATCTCGAATCTTACCAAGGGCCTGCACTATCGGGTTCGTATTTTCTGCAAAAAATCAAATCAATAGTGAGAACTTCATATGTTTCAAGAATGAAGTAGTCCAAAAGAACTGCACCTGTAGATTCGGGATCCAATTGCATTGCGTTAGGATCTGAAGCGTCCTCGTTGAACTCGGCTGCACTCATAGAAGAATCCCATGTCTGAGGTGTATCTGGCATTTCTGACAACTTAAAAGAATGAGACACTTCCGACAAGTTGGACATCGTTGCTGGCATGTACGAACCTCTTCTTCGGCTATCAGTTGATGCCCGTCCACAACTAAGCCCGCCTCTCTTCCTCGGCCTACCTCTCTGTCCCTTAGGAGGAACAAACGGAGATGCTGGTGAAGGAGATGGTGTTCCGAAATCAGGGTGCACGGTAAGACGGTGGTCCTCATGAGCGGCCCGCAAAGAATATCCACATATTTCCTGGATCTCTCTAAGAGCATCCTCACCAGAAACATCATAGCCCTCATGCAAAGCATCACTGGCACGGTGGTATATTTTTTGTAAGCTCTGAGCCTGGAGACAATGACAAATCGAAACAATATTTTTTTTTAATCTTTTTTTTTTTACAAAAACGAGCACGAAAGGAGCTAACTAAGAAGCTGGTTAGATTAAAACATTTTCTACCATAGCCTCCATTGCACCTCCAACTCCCTGGTATCCAGTATTCGGACGAGTAGCAGGATTACCAATCAACAGGCGAGTAATTCGTCTGTACCATACCATGTACGGTTCACTCTGGTCCATTGGACCATCAATGGGTGGTCCAGATATGACGCGGGCACAGCGCTCAGCCCACATGTCAACAAATTGCCTGTGATGGTGGGCCCAATCGTAATTTTGCCTTCCACGACGATCGGTCAAATGGATATCCGGAATAGTGTCACAAATTGCAGGTATAGTTTGATGCTGGCCAAATTGACGCAGAACACGGTCAGGGTGGTGGAACTCCACCACATCAAAGCAGATGAGAGGAGCCACTGTCTGCCAAATCCTCCCTCCTGACAGGCAATACTCTGGGAGGCTCGCCAAGACCTCGTCAGGATATGGCTCCCATACAAACTAAGAGATGAAGTAGACGGTACAGGAAAAGAAAAAGTCAGTGCATAATGAAACTCTTATGGTAACAAAAAAAAAAAAATCGTATGGTAATTTAACGAAAATTGTATATTATAAATGAAAAAGAACCTGGTCATCCTTCATATTGTCGAGCTGGTCTCTGTACAAGACTAGGACATGCGTTCCGACAGTCTCCAGCTTGAAACCAACATTCCACCTATAAACAATAAAAAATTCATAACAAAGCCACGAGAAGGCTACATGTTAATCCTATGAATGTTTCCCTCAATTGATTCATATCTGCAAAAAATACCTGGAACCATAGGGTGCTGAAGGTAAAAAGTGATCTCCAGAAACTATATCAGGAGGTAGCTCTTGCCGAGGTGATAATCTCCCAGGTCGGATGAACGGCACTCTCTCCCATGCCCAAATCTGATTGATATTCATAAAAAACCCGTACATGTCTCTCAGTATTGTTTGTGATTTTTTAAAAGAAAAATAAATTTCTCAGCTTATGGCTTTTAAAATACCTGCAAAAGTACCAGTGGCCCACATATATCCGACGTCTCAGGTTTGGTTGCTCGGCACAAAGCACGGTACAAACAAGCAAGGACAGCACCACCCCAGCTCATCCTACCAGCTGCTTCAAAGTCCCTAAGCAGGGGCAAGTACATCAATTTCACCTTATTATTAGACATATCCGACAGCAACTGGCCCCCAAGCAGCTGCAGAATGTACGCTCTGGCATAGAACTTCACAGTATCCTCCGACGCACCATCTGGCAATGTCTTAAATCTCTCCTGTAAGCATCGGATCTTAAGACGGCCTCGATCGAAATCTTCGGGCGGCGGTCTGAACCCCAACAGCTCATTACATATATCCTGCCATTCATCCATTGACCTATTTGTGTCGACACCTGTAATAGGATCACCATCTACAGGGAGACCCCACAATACAGAGATGTCCTGAAGTGTAACAGTGGTCTCTCCAACTGGCAAATGGAAAGTGTGTGTCTCTGGGCGCCATCTTTCGACTAAGGCTGTGATCAGAGCATGATCCAACCGCATGCGGCCAGCCTTATATACCCCATAGAAACCTGCTTTCAGCATCATCTGCTGAACTCGAGGGTCGAGGGTACCCAATCGCCAAAAGTGTCCATCACATCTCCTGCAAGTTAAAGGTTCAAAGTTTTGACCGTTCCATATATCTGTGGATCTGTGGTGATCCTGTAGGGTAAGTATAGAGTCATCAATAGGTCCAGGATGCAATGTGTGGCCCAGTCCAGAATCCATATCCACTAAATTTCCTGTAGTATTGTTCATAGATGAACACACGTCAGTTGTAAAATAAGCAGTATATATCCATTTCGCAATCTATAAGAGCCGTTTTTCCAATATTTAGGTACCATATAATCATGGAGGAAAATGGGTTTTTTATCTCCTGCCATAGTCAGTTAATATGAGTACGTCAGCCCGTTATGAGCCGTGCAGTAAGAAAAGATTGGGGAGAAAAGATGGGGAAAATGTGTAAATGGTGGATTTCAGAGTTACTAAAAATGCTCTTATCATTGATGAATTGTAAATCTTGCATTATCTCTGCGTACAAGTTCCGATACACTGGGAATAAGCAGGATAAATGACATGATCAGTTTCACAAGATGCAGAGAGTAATGCAAGGATGTAAGGGGTTACCGAGATTCATTTAATGAAACTTTATGACAGAATGACTTGGTTTAACTCAGAATGACTTCTGATCCATCAAGACCTGATTAGAAAAAACACGGGACTAATTATCTTATTAACATATCTACTAAATTTGTCACTATTCTCCTTCAATATGAAGGTAATTAGCACTGTTTAAACAGCTCTAACTTGTAAAGACTCCGCACTTCTATTCCTTTGTTCAATCATTGGCAGCATAAAAAGATACACTACACAAGGACTCTGTTCATGGCAAAAACCTTTAAAGCAATAAACCTCATGAAGACTCTCGTATAAATTATTGAGAGACATTTGAAAGGTAACACCATGATTTTACATTAAAGCTTCAAACTTCCATCAGTCCACAATTTAGCACCCGAAAAGAAAATTTAATCGAAAAACCTCAACTTTAATCGGGTATTTAGACCAAATGACATAAGAGAGCAGAAGAATAAAATAAAAAATCAACAGATGAAATCATGTCTGTTAATCTACAAAATCCTAGTACTCGTTTACAGTTACGAAAAGGACACTAATCATCCACCGTAAAATGCCTCCGCCAAAGAAATCGAACATCATCTTACAGGAGTGATAACTGAATCACAAAAACAAAAACAAAAACAAAAACAAAAACAAAAACAAAAATGCAACCAAATTCCCAGGCCAAAAAAAAAAGGAAGAATTATTACCTAAACAGAAACAAAAGCCCCACCCTTCAATCACGGCCACAAATGCAATTCATATCTTCAATGATTCGGAGCATTCAAATCACGGAGAGAGAGAGGGAGAGAGAGAGAGAGAGAAAAAAGGAGATTTTTTTTTTTGCGAGGATTGAACAAGTATTTGGGAATTAAAAATAATTGTAATTTGCAGCGGAGAAAAGGGAGGGAAGGAGGTACTGTGAGTGCGTGGTGTGGAAATTCCCAACGGCTATTCAAATCTGCGAGCCTGTGCGGGGGGCGAAGATCTCCATTAGAAACGTTGTCGCGACTTCTTGCTGCTGTCTGCGCCTTTTGGGAAAAAAAAAATAAAGAAGATAGATAGTGTTAGGGTTTTTTCTTTTTGTTGTTGTGTGTGAGGGATGCAATCGACCAAAAAAAACCTAAAAGCGTTCTAATCTTTTGCTTATTTGTAATATCACCCCTCATCTTCTCCAATATGTTAATATGCCCCCTACAGTTTACACATATTACGATATTGCCCCCGATTAATATGTGATCTCGTTTCTTACTTCTTATAATCTTAATTGTGCCCCTCGACTTTCACTTATATCGACATTTGCCCAATGTTTAACTTTTGGTTCTTCCTATTTCTTAAAATATAAACCCTAAACCCTTACAATTTCTAGCACCTCCTTCGTCGTCCTCCCCCAAATACTCAACCACAGAAAACACAGGGGAAATGGTTTCAGCGAACGAAGAACAAAGAACGGAGAAGATTCCGGTGTGGGATTTGCCGGATGTTCCGTCGGGAAATCTGCCGGCGCACCTCGAACTCCAGAGGACCCGTACTGTCTGCACTAACGATGCCCCTATTCATGTATGTACAGTAGAATCTCGATAAATTAATAACCTTGCTTAAATAATAGTTTCTTCTGCTCCTGACTCGATAGAAACCTACTAAATTATTAGTTCGATAATTTAATATTTCGCTAAATTAATAGAATTTTGTTAGTCCCGACTCTATTAACTTATAGAGGTTAACTGGATTTGTATTAACTTCGCTAATTCCTTGCTATTTGTCCATTCTCTTGTTGCTCAATTTGTTAGGGTTTTTGTTTTTGTTTTTGTTTTTTATTTTTATTTTTTATGTTTCGGAAATAAAAAGACGGAGAATATTCAATACTCGGGTGCTTATGCGTCGATGGGAGTGGATAACAGCATGAGATTCGAGAAGTTTTGCAAGAATTTTAGGGTGGAAGTGATTAGACTCGGAGATGATGAAATGGAGTTCGATATGGTTGGCATTGATGCTTCTCTTGCGAATGCGTTTAGGAGGATCCTCATATCTGAGGTGCGCTTTGTTTTCCCTTTTTTTTTTCCTTTCAGAGTGAAGAATGGATTATCTGTTGACTTTCTTTTGTGAAATGGATATTCAACATTTACAATATCTCTCTGTTTAATATTATATGAAAATTATGTGAGAGGTGATGGATTTGGGGATTTTTCTTTCTCGGTAACAAGACCTTTGTGCTGTTGAAACGGAAAGGAAGCGGAAATGAAATATGATAAACTTCTAATTATATTCATCTTAGCATATTTTAGTAGAGTGCGTAATCTTGGCATGATAATTGTTTTGTAAGTAAGTACTACCGTATTGTTCCATGTGAATTGTTGAGCATTTTTCTTGGATGAGCTTGTCCTTTTGTGCGATAAGCTATGCATGTGAGTGTTTGAAACCTGTAGTAACATGATGCATAATTGTATTATTATTTGAGCAGTCTCGTTTTTCATTCTTCTTTTCATGTTTCGGTGTGCACATGAATTTCAATGCCTGATTCTATATGTATGTAGCCACATATAGTGTTATTTGGATTTGGCATTTGACTGATCTCTTCCTACCTGATTTCCAGCTTCCAACCATGGCTATTGAAAATGTTCTTGTTGCAAATAACACCTCAGTGGTTCAAGACGAGGTGCTCGCCCATAGACTAGGTCTTATACCACTTAAAGTTGATCCAAGGCTCTTCAATTATAAGTCAGGTTTTAGCTATTCTCACTTTTGTATTGAAATCATTTCTTCAACTGTTCTCTACTTCCTTGATCTCTTGATGAGGCAAATTCTCTGATGCTTTGAATTGTCTTTTTTTTTTTTTTGTGTCTGTGCAGAAAATGACCAACCCAGTGAAAAGAATACCATTGTTTTTAAACTTCATTCTCGTTGTGAAAAGAAGAGCTCACGTATTAATGGTACTATGTGAATGAGCAACCAATGAAGATTCAGTGTAATTTATATTTCTAACTTCTTAGTCATTACTCAACAAATGCAATAATGGTGTTCTCTTTTATGTATTCAAAATAATCCAGTTAAGTCGAGCGAGCTGAAGTGGCTACCGGGGGGCAGTGAGTTCGCACTAAGTACAGAAAAACCAACTCAGGATTCGACATCAAAGGTTAAAACTTATACTTCATTCACTTGTAGTCAAGACTCTTTGCCAGAATTCTCAAGCAACCCAATTGCCCCCACGCATGACGATATTACGTTAGCTGTACTTGGACCTGGACAGGTATGGTCTGATGTTATTTTTTTTTGTTTTGTGGTGATCGTTCAATCTTGGAGCAGGACTCCTACTCATATATCGAACTAAACGATTTGTCATTTGTTAATTGGTCTTATTGGCAAAAGTGTGCAAAAAAAAATTCATAGATCTTTCAGCTATTTGCTATGATCTAGGATGCCTGGGATTTTGACAAATTTTATAGTGAATGAAACATTTCTCTTTAATGCCTCTGCTATTTCCTTCACACTCCCATGAGAAGAACCCCGTAATGGATGATTTTGTTGTAAAATGAACTGAGTACTGCTACTTCAGTGGTGATATATTTTTCGTTAACGAACTGCACCTCAGCTATCCGTATGATGCTTCTTGGCAAGTAACTCCAAAATCTTGAATTTATTTTCCTGTCTGAAAATTTTTGTGCAGGAAATTGAGCTGGAAGCACATGCTGTGAAAGGAATGGGCAAGACACATGCAAAATGGTCACCTGTTGCCACTGCTTGGTATAGGATGCTTCCTGAGGTATAAAAATCGTTACATCCTATTTCTGTACTAATGGTGGCAGTTATTTTTAGCAACTATTATAAACAACTTGGTTTTAAATTCTTTGTGTAGGTTATATTGTTGCAAGAAATTGAAGATGAAAAGGCGGAAGAACTTATCAAGAAATGTCCTGTTAACGTGTTTGATATCGAAGATATTGGTAAAGGTAAGACGGAAACTATGCAGTCACTGTCTTAATACTTGGTTTCGCTTGTTCCATATAATTAAATTGGTAGTTAATTGTCCCAGATGTATGATTCTTGATCATCAGTTATAGGTTTCTTGATATATTTGCTGACTATATCAATTAGGTCGAAAAAGAGCAACTGTGGCAAGGCCTCGATCTTGTACTCTGTGCCGTGAATGCATCAGAGGAGATGACTGGGATAAGCTTGTGGCACTTCAACGCGTAAAAGATCATTTCATTTGTAAGTGAAAATGATGAATGAAACCTTCTCTATTCTTATCAGTGATCCAATTTATGAAATAGCAATATATGTAAGTCGAAAGGTTCGGTCTATTATGATTGTTTTATGTTTTAAGATTAAAACTGAGATAATATCTACATCAGCTTTACGTAGCTAAATTGTCGACAACTCTGCTTTCATGATACGGTGGCATTTAAACTTTCTGCATTTAAATTTCTATTAAATTTAAGATTGGAGAGCTCGATTCTGTTGTTGGATTGAATTCATAATATATTACCAGTTTCTGATTGAGATTTTATTTTACTCAGTTACAATTGAATCTACGGGAGCATTACCTCCAGATGTTCTTTTCACTGAAGCTGTGAAGATTCTAGAAGACAAGTGTGAGCGTGTGATAACCGAAATGTCCTAATTACGCGGGCTTGCAATGTGAAAATCTGGCATGGCCAAAAAGGATCACAATATTTATCGCTTATTTATAGCATACTGTTAGTAACTTTAAGACTCTAAATATTGCACCATCCATCAATTTTTATTTATTTTTCAGTATTTTTACTACTGTTTGTTTCCATTTATGTGCAGGTTTAACAGTTGAGTAGTTCATCTATTTAGGCATTTCAGAATAGTTTATTATTAGATTGTTGTTCATGAAGTTGTTGTAGGCATTTGTCAACTGTCAGATATGTGTTATAGGTGCCACTCAACTAACTACATGCATTCCACAACAAAACTATGGCAATTTTTTTTTTTTTTTTTTAATTTTTGGATGAAATGAAAGTATTGCAAATTAGTATCCATGAAATTGTATGTTCATAAAAGAATCCAAGTTGGTTGGAAGCATTTTTTTCTTTTTATTTTTTCAGAAATTAGAATTTGAAGGTCTAGAAAATTTGAAATATATTTTGATTTTTGATTAGATGCATACATTGAAAACCTCTATAAATTAATATAGTCGGGACTAGCAAAATTTTATAGCTATATATTAATTATCAAACTAATAATTTAGTATGTTTTTATCGAGCCGGGATCGGAAGAAACTATTATCTATATTATTAATAGAAGGTAAATGAAATATGCAAGAATATAGGATAAAATCAAAATGTACAGTATATTTTAGAATATGCGAATAATAATAATAATAATAATAATAATAATAATAATAATAATAATAATAATAATAAAATAATCCGATAAATTGAAGATGGTAGTAGAGAATAGGACAAAAAATGGGTGGGAGTGAGAAAACAGGTCACGACCATGTTAGTTTAGTGGTAATAAGAAAAGTGTCTCAACCCAACACTCCCTCCCTTCTTTGTTTAGGGGACAAATTCATTGAAATTATTGCACATGTAAAAGCTTTACTTTACCCTTCTTTTGACCCCTCCACCACTCTCTCTCTCTCTCTCTCTCTCTCTCTCTCTTTCTCTCACACACACAAACACACACACATACACACCTACCCAGCTCTCTCTTTCAATATTCTCTCAAACCCTTTTCTTTCCTTTTTCTTTTTCTCGCTATCATAAACATTAGGACACCACACACTTTTGGAGCAAGGTGAGGTGGTGGACTGGAGGTGTCACTCTCTTCTTTAATTCTCTCTCTCTCTCTCTCTACACTTCGCTGCCTTTCTTTAATTATTATTTTAAAAAAAAGTTTAATTTAGTTCCCCCTCCATTGTTAAATCGATTAAAAATTGTAAACCCTAAAGTTGTGATCTTTGTGACTTTCTCTCTCTTTCTTTTTTGAGTGTGGGCTGCTGCTTTTTCTTGGTTTGTGGGTTGTGTTTTCTTTCAGCATTGTGGGGTTTTAATGGAGCCCTCTTGCTAGGTTTTTTTTTTTGCTGAGAAGAGGTAGCCATTGTTCAAGATCTGTGCTTTTTCATTGACCCTTTACTGTTTTCCAGCTGTCTTTTTAAAAAAAAAAAGTTCAATTTGATGCTGATCTGAAGCATGAATTTATTTTCTCAATTTAGCTATATGTGCTTCTGAAGTTGAAAAGGGTTGTGTTTGGAGGTAATTAAAATAAGCAGATAATTCTGAAATTGTAATTGTGATTTACTTTTTAGTTACTAAGAGCTTCGATTTTTTGTTGGATTTGTGTTATCTTGGTAGATATGAAGAAAATCGTCATGGGTTGGTTCTACACTATGTTCCGTTCTTTAATTTTTGCCCGTATTGCAGAGATTTTGTCTATCGAATATCTAATCTTGCTTTAAACTAATTGCCATTCCTTTAACTAGTTTATTTCATTCACGTGATTTGGTTGTTTATGTGGATCCGTCTTGTGTCTTTCCTGCAGATCTCGATGCAATTATGAACGATGGTTTTTTAATCGAGTATTGAAGGAGCAGACGACGTTTTGCGATTTGTGTAATGGTTTTATTCATTCTCGTTAATTTCCGAAGTCAACATAAATGATGGCCTCGGAAAAGGGTTCCTCGGTGAAGCAGGCCAGAAGTTACAAAATAGGTAAATTAGACCCTGCTGCGAAAGAACTTCCCAGAAACGCCGAAAATGCAAAAATCACCGTAGAAGCTACATCGGAAACGAAATTACACAATCACCCTCAAAAGGGACCGGTTAGTTCTTTGACATGTAGAATGGACTCGAGCTTACATTTGGGCACCAATTCCAAACAATCCCCAACGTTCGATCAAGAAAAGAAAGCATCGGATCAAGAAAAAAATAGTGACGGAGCAAATAGCGTCGCTAAAACTAGTGGCAGAGTAGAATTAGTCGAGAGTGGAAAGAGCAGTTTGTGCAGGGGCAGCACGAGCACAGACATTAGCGACGAAAGCAGCTGCAGTAGCTTTAGCAGCAGCGTTAACAAACCCCACAAAGCAAACGACGTAAGATGGGAGGCAATACAGACTGTCCGAACGAAAGACGGTGGATTAGATCTGAGGCACTTTCGGTTGCTAAAGAAATTGGGATGCGGAGATATTGGGAGCGTCTATTTGTCGGAACTGTGCGGTACAAAGTGTTACTTTGCAATGAAGGTTATGGACAAGGCTTCTCTTGCTAGTCGGAAGAAACTCTTGCGGGCCCAAACGGAGAGAGAGATATTGCAGTGTCTGGATCATCCTTTTCTACCGACGTTGTATTCTCATTTTGAAACGGAGAAGTTTTCTTGTTTGGTAATGGAATTCTGCCCGGGGGGTGACTTGCATTCGCTTCGGCAAAGGCAACCCGGGAAGTATTTTTCCGAGCAAGCTGTTAAGTACGTTTTCTTTTTCTTCTAACTCTATTGTTTATGCATGGTTATGGTCTTTGTATTCTCGTTTTCTTGTTATTGAGTTTTTTCGACAAGTGGTTGAGAAATATTTGAAGTAACTTAATTTATGAATCCTACATTCACTTCTAGTTGCAGCTCGTTTAGTAACCACGTATCAGCTCGAGTCTATCTGCTTTTCTCATTTATGAATCCTATATTCACTTCTACAAACTTAATGCCCGACGCTGATGTGGCGCACTGGTATCTGTTATGAAGTAATACTGGATATAGAATATTTAATAATAACCCTATAAATAGGAATGACGGAACATGGTAGATTTTGCAGGTAGAGCGAATATGAATCTTAGTACATTCATTAAGTATGTTACTCCCCCGTTTCATCCCAAGGGTCGTTTAAGGTAGACGCACACCAACTGTGGAAGCTACTAATTAGCCTTCATTTTAGGGTGAAAAGTCCTTTTTCGACAAAATTACCCCTTTGTGGCTTTTCATCTTCTCTTTCTCACTTCATTAATCTGTTATTAATGTGTCTTGAAATTCTAAATCGACAAACCGACACATAATATTGGAAACAATTATGGCTAAAGAGACACATGAAAGGAATTGGAGTGAGTAAATCGTAGATTAACTATTCTTCTCAGAAGCTATTCGTAATGCCGTTTAGGTTTTCCGTTCATACAGACTCCGTTAACTTATTTCACTATTTAATAAATGAAAATGTAAACAACAAGACTTTATTATGATTTAAAATGTTCAATGTCGAATGTCTGATATGTTTACATGGGAATTTCCCCCATTGCAGGTTTTACGTAGCGGAAGTACTTCTCTCTCTAGAATACCTACACATGCTCGGAATAGTCTACCGCGACCTAAAACCCGAAAACGTCCTCGTTAGAGACGACGGCCACATCATGCTCTCCGATTTCGACCTCTCCCTCCGCTGCTCCGTCAGCCCCACTCTAATCAAGTCCTCCGAGGCTGACCCCACACGCACGAAAAACACAAACTCCGCCTACTGCGTGCAGCCGTCCTGCGTGGTCCCCACCTCATGTGTGGGCCCCACCACATGCTTCGCCCCCCGTTTCTTCTCGAGCAGCAAGTCCAAGAAAGACCGAAATAAGACCAAGAACGAAACGGTCAACCAAGTGACCCCATTGCCGGAGCTAATGGCGGAGCCCACGGATGCCCGTTCAATGTCTTTCGTCGGGACCCACGAGTATTTAGCACCCGAAATAGTCAAGGGGGAGGGGCATGGAAGTGCGGTTGACTGGTGGACTTTTGGGATTTTTTTGTACGAGTTGTTGTTTGGGAAGACGCCGTTTAAGGGGTCGGGGAATAGGGCGACGCTGTTCAACGTGGTGGGGCAGCCGCTCCGTTTTCCGGAAGCTCCGGTGGTTAGTTTTGCCGCCAGGGATTTGATAAGAGGGCTGCTGGTGAAAGAGCCGCAGCACAGGCTGGCGTACAAGCGTGGCGCAACGGAGGTGAAGCAGCACCCGTTTTTTGAGGGTGTCAATTGGGCTCTGATCAGGTGTGCCAGCCCGCCCGATGTGCCTAGACCGGTTGACTTTGAGAGGATCGCTGCTGTGGTGGTGCCGCCGGCGGAGAACGGTCTGAAAGTTGCTCCCCCTGCGCCGGTAGCAGCCGCGACTCCGCAGAAGTCTGATAATTATTTGGAGTTTGATTTCTTTTAGTGGTTTCTTGTTTTTTTTTTTTGTTAAATTAAATGAGATATGTGGATTTTTCGGGATGGATAAGTAGAAAGGACCGAAACGAAGATGGTGTATGTGAGACAGTGTTATGTGATTTGTTGTATTGCAGATGTTGTAATACTATATATATACTGTTGGTTATGAATCCATGTACTTGTTTTGATGCTTTTCTCAGATTTTCAGACAGAAAAAGCTGTTGATGTTTTCTTCAGTTGTAATGTTGCAAACATGAGATTTTAAGGCAGATTCTTCATATTGATAACAGGAAAAAAAAAAAAATTGAATAATGAGAAGCAAAAAATATTGGATTGCGGTGAGCGTGGATCGAACACGCGACCTTCAGATCTTCAGTCTGACGCTCTCCCAACTGAGCTATCCCCGCAATTTTGTTAATTGTTACAAGTATATTTTATTTATATCGATATCATAACTAAAAATTGAATACTTTTTAGAATAAGTAGTTTTGCCACGTGGACCAATCAATCTCTCGGGACTCAATAGTCAAAAGTCAAAACAAGCCACCACGAAAAAGCAAAAAGAATAAAGTGGCAAGTGCTTTTCATAACTGGCCTTTATTTTCTCCAGGGAGAATATTACTGTAAATATTCTGGTGGTATACCATATATATATATATATATATATATATATATATATATAATGAGCTATATGCATATGTATAATGACTAATGAGTGATATATAGAAGAGAAGAGACAAAAAAAATCAAGAAAATTGAACTTTTGCAATATTTGATTCTTATTACCCAACTCAGATAGATATATACTGTGTGCGCTGTGCTCTCACGAAAAAGTGAGACTTGAATATTTGACATAGCCAACGGCCCATATATACTCACTCGCCTTTTCATTTTATTTGATTTATTCCAATTAAAATAAATAAATAAATAAAATTTTAAAATAATAAATATTAATTTCAGTTCGTTCGTTTTCTACTGTCACTAAATTATTGCAACTTTAATATGAATGAGACATTAGCATGTGGATTCCCCTAACGTAATTCAAGAATCAAGATTAAACGTGGCCTAAATTTAATGTGAATAATTAATTTTTGAACGGTGCAGCAAAAATGTAAAAAGAATTAATTACTAATATTTTAATTTTAAACATCTTTTGATAAAGGGAAAGATAAGGCATGCTTAATTAACATGTGCTTCAAATTCCTCACATTATCTTCAAGCATCATGTGCCTCGTCCACTTCAAAGATTTAATTTCAAGAATCGTGTTTCTTTATTTTTTCGATATGAATGGAATTTCGCGAGATGGTACGTAAAAGCGTGGAATCCAACATCTCTCTTTTGGATCGGAGGTGAACTACTTTATTTGGATCTTAACAATTATATTGTTACTCTACGATTTCGGCTAATTTGACCGATGGAGTGCTAACACTGAAAAATTATTCCCCGGCATTCGTTTTTGAAGGTCTTTCGGAGCGCGTGAGCTTCTTCTTATTTGGATTTTTATCTCACTTCAGACCCAATTCACATTTTCAATTCGTGATTGAGTCATTTAAGCTACGTCAGAAAGTGTAGAACTTTTCAGATTAATATCTCTAACAAAAGAAATAAGAGAAATGTGACATAAAATTATGACATCAAAACAAAATTAAATGATTTTTTTCAAATTATATAATGGTTTAATTTTTAATTATTGCTTAATTTGTAGTTTTAAATTGTATATTAAAAAAAGAAAAAAGAAAAAAGAAAAAACAAAAAAGAAAAAAGACAGTCAATTTGTTTTCTTATTGGGCTGATGGGGTTCAAAATAGTAGGAGAGTAGAAAGTAATTTGGGTCAACTATTTCGCACTAGTCCTTAATTCTATTGGGTGTTCTCTTTTTTTTTTTTTTTTTTGGCTTTCGGCCCTTTAAAAACCATGGATACTGGATAGGTACCCAACTATTTTTCATTTTTCATTTTTTAAGTTTGTCATTTTTTTTGTTAGAATATATTTATATTTCCTCTCTCTCTTATTTGATATAAAATTTGTAAGATGACGGCTTATTTGATGCCATACTCGGTGTAATACATTCGATGAATTTAACCGTTAATCTGCACATAATCACACACACCACTCATATATATGTGCGTTCAGCTGAAATTTATTTACTCCATCAACAATTAAAACTCACCGAATATATATAACTCGGTGCAGCATCTAAAGCCCATAAGACGACACATCTCTAATTTTTTGACTTTGTTAGTTCACCATTTTCATGGATGGGGCCCACATGAGTGAAAGCACATGCATTGTGAATTGTGATGTCAATTGCCATTACTATAATCTAAGTGGAAACACTTTAATTTGGTCCCATAGGCCCTTTTATTTTCCATTAATTAATTCCTTGCCAATAGTCGTGCTTCCCATCAATGTGGCATTTACTACTCAATTATGGGTTAAAATTGCAAATAATTTTTCCAATTATACCAATTTTGATTCAAAAATTTTCAGAAATTCATAATAGTATCTTTCATTAAAAAATTAAAAAAATGAATTATGTGTATATTATATTAGCAATTTATAAGTAGATAGAAAATTGAAATTTCTGAATTCTGTTGATTTCAATCCCAACATTTATTCATATCAAAAAAACTTTATTCAACTTATTTCCCATATTCCAATTTTTCATTTTCCTAATTTTTTTTATCGTAATTGGAATTAATTTTGCAATTCTGAACAAAATTATAATTTTTCCAAAAGTGCTTTATTACATGTTGGTAATGAATCTACCTACAAAGGACATTCATTGCATATTACAAAGTCTAGCAAGATTATTAACTTAAACACAATCAATGTTGTTTACAAGTTATATAATTTTTGTCTTGGCAACTACCATATAGCTCATGTAAAGTCAAACAATGAAGTCAAAATGACAAATGTTACTACAAGTTTAAATCTCCTTAAATATTTCTTCTTTTCTCAAAATAAAACTACTTATAATTTATACGATTATGTGCTCTATTACTACTCAGTGTATTTCACACGGTACAATATTTACCAAATTAAAAAGTTGGGTGAAACACACCATAACTGTAAACTCCTGCAACTGTCACATAATTAACCGGATTTTAAAAAGAAATAATCATCATACTTAATGGCTAATTGAGATTATATACATACATATATATATAAAAAATACCGATCAATACGACGCCGTATTGTAATAATTATAGTAGCAGAATCGTTCTTGTTGCTTAGAGCATCTGCCATAAAACTTAGAATTAATCAGCCAAAAAATATCCTTATATATTTTTATATATATAATAAATAAATAATAATAATTTATTCTTTTCCCTTTTCTGTCTCACAGTTTGTCTGTTTCTTGATTCGAAGTTCCCCACTTATAAGATCTAAGAAAATCAACAAAAAAATAAAAGAAAACCTTCATTCTTCAAAAGGGTGGGTTTTCTTCTGGGGAGAGAAAATCAAATTGAGCGGTGCCCCCATTTTCCCCCACCCCTCTGAAATTAGGGTTTGAATTAATGACAGTGTTGATTTGAAAGAGAATGGTGCTCATAACTGAAGAAATGATCAAACAGTTTCAAATCCAGATGGAAAAAAGTCAGCTTTTTTATATATTCAGATGAATTTTACTCTCAGGTTTTTTTTTTTTTTTTTTTTTTTTTTTTTTTTTTTTTTATAATTTTTGGATCTAACGGCTGCTGATGGTTTGATCTGTTTGGTTGCAGTTGATGGGCTACTGAAGAAAAGTTACCAGGTTTGTGATTTGTTGTTACTGATCTGATTATTGGATTTAGAGAAGTAAAATTAATTTTGATTAGGGCTCTTCATTATTTAAATGATTATTATGTAATGACTGATTCAACCAGTTTTCACTACCTATGGTCAATGTCAAGTCAAATTGCTTGTCTTAATTTCCTTGTAAATGTTTTTACTGTTTACATTTTCCCCATTTTTCGATTTATTTTTCGAATTAATTTTCGAAGTACTTGGCTTTCATATATATATATATATATATATATATATATATATATATATATATATATATATATATATATATATATATATATATATATATATATATGCATAAAAACTCATTAGGAGTGTGTGTGTGTTTTTGTGTGATAATCTGCAGAATTTACATGCCGGTAACCCGAGGGAGAGTTTGTTGCGATTTCTAAATGCAAGGGACGGGAATCTCTTCGATGCGCATAAGATGGTACGCCATATTGATTTTTCTTTCGACTTTAATATTATTATGTTATTATTGATTTTGTTTGTAACAAGATCCCGATATATTTCAGCTCACCGACACTTTAAACTGGAGGATTGAAAACGAAATCGACAACATACTGGCAGTGAGTTTCGGGATCAATTTTTCTTTAGCATAATATATTGCATCGATTTCTTTCAGTTATATCTTTTGTACATAGAAGTTGAAGCAGTTTGCTTTTGCAGAAGCCGATAATACCTAGCGATGTGTATAGAGCAATACGGGATTCTCAGCTTATAGGAATGTCGGGTTACACCAAAGAGGTATTCTATTATTAATTAGAACTATAATTCTTTCTTACGCACTTTAAAAGTCAAATGGAGTCAATTGTCACGTTATCTTATTCGAGCTAGTTCGTTTGTGTTGGTAATTTTATAGGGTCTTCCTGTTATTGCTGTTGGTGTCGGGCTCAGCACATATGACAAAGCATCTGTAAGAATCTATTACAAAATAATGATGTATATATATAAATGTGTGTGCGTGTGTGTGTGCTTGTTGCTAAAGTTTGGGTTCGTCTGTCTTAGATTCACTACTATGTACAGTCACACATCCAAATTAACGAATATAGAGATCGTGTCCTATTGGTGAGTTTTTCACTATTCACCTCAATGGTTAACATTTCCTATACATGCTCCACATATTGTACATCGTATAACTTACTATTAAATTTCATCGTATAGCCTTCTGCAACGAAAAAATACGGAAGATACATCGGCACATGCATAAAGATTTTAGACATGACCGGCCTAAGGCTTTCTGCGTTGAATCAAATCAAGGTATCTTAACATATAAATATTTGCTGATTCGAAGTTTTCCGATTTTGGACCAAATTTTTCATTCCGATTTTTCAATTTTTTTTAATCATAATTGGAATATGTGTGAGTTTCCAATTTTCGATCCTACAATAATATCCAAAGTTTCCGTTTTTTTTTTCTCAAAAATTACACTCATAATATAAATTTTATTGTGTATTTTATATTTCAGTAACTAAGAAATTGGAATTTCTTGAATTCCGCCAATTCCGTTTCGAAAGTTTCCAGTTTTGGATTAAGTTTTTTCGTTACAATTTCTGAAATTCCGATTTTCGATTTGTTTTTTGAACGGAATTGAAATTAGTGTTTCACTTCCGATCTGATCAATCCGATTTCCACCCTTATGTATAAACCACAAAACGGTAACTATTTTCCACTAATACCCCTCGTAATAATCACCACACACACTTCTTCCCATTGCAGCTTCTATCAGTAATATCCACAATCGACGACCTAAACTACCCCGAAAAGACCGATACATACTACATAGTCAACGCACCCTACATATTCTCATCGTGTTGGAAAGTCGTGCGACCTCTACTAAAGGAAAGAACAAGGAAGAAGATCCAGGTTCTAGCTGGTTCGGGAAGGGACGAGTTGTTGAAGATAATGGACTACGAATCCCTCCCTCATTTTTGCACGAGAGAAGGCTCCGGTTCGTCGAAACATTCTAGAAACGTCGATTGTTTCTTGTTGGACCATCCGTTCCACAGGGAGCTCTACGACTACGTGAAGGAACAAGCTGAGGTGGCAGCGGTGGTGAAGGGGGCGCCAGCTAGGCATGGATCCATGCACGTGGGTTTTCCCGAGCCTGATTTGGAAGACGTGAAGATTGCTCAGACGATAGAGTGCGAGTTCCAGAGGATCGGGAATCGGAACGGAGGGTCCCGTCAGTCGTTACAGGAGCTTAAAATAACCGGCGATTGATTGATTGGCTACTGATTAATAAAGAGATTTGTACTGTACAAGTTTGCATCATCTTCTTGATGCTGCTGCTTCTGTTTTTTTTTTTTTTTTTTTTTTTTTTTGAGATTAAGTTTAAATTGACATAAACTTTGGCGGGAAGATACATTATTAATCCTGCCTTTAGCCGCATAATTGAGATCAGTGGTCT